CAAAGAAAAACTAATCATGACCTGGTAAACACAAAGTGAAGAGAAGAAGTGGGACACTTCTTCATCATCGCTCATGGAGTGAAACATAATAACCAGATCACATTTTGTGGTGCATTAATTTAGTTCTAGCTGCGAGGTGTCTAGAGGTTATCTTTGATACAACTGTTTGATCCCACTGTCTATTTCTCAGGACCTGGATAGTTTATTATTTCATTTTCATTTCATTTTATCATATTACACTGTTCTTAAACTGGTAACAACAGTATATATAAAAAATGACACAACAGATATAGCTTTGTTTGCAATGCAAGTCTTACAGTCAATTCACCACACAAATTATACGTCAGCACCAACATGTTGTTGTGACCATGTTAGCATGCTGATGTTAGCATTTCATGGAACCATTGTAGCCTAAAAGTTAGAACCTTTGCATGTTAGCATTGTCATTGTGAGCATGTCAGAAAGATGCTGTACCACACAGAGCTTTTAGCAAGGATGTCAATTATTACTCTTGTTTATACACAAGAAAACCCCCAAAAACTATCTGCAACTGCCTGATCTTAATAGATTTCAATGAACATAGAGTAGGTAAGTGACAAAGTAGATGGATTACATTGACTTTAGGTTAAATTGCTTTTCTGACTTTGGCTATGACATAACACTAACTGGGTCAAAGGTTGTTTCTGCGCAGGTGTGTTACAATGGAAAGCAATAGATTATATTTTAACCTATATCTCAAATGTATAACAGCTGTCTTTAGTGGCTTTAAATACAGTATGCCCCCATCTAAGGGTCAGTCACTGAACACTTGAGAACCCAGGGCCACAGTCATGGTAACATGGTTGGTGCTGGGATCTTCACGACACCATCACAACTCATCACAAAGAGACATGTGTGTCAGGGATTCTTTTCTAAATTTATGATGCACGTCTATAAAGTCTTCCTGTTCTAAAATAGATTGACCCATATTTTAGCTCAGCTGCCTTTTTAGGCACTATACAACCCCATCCATCTGTGTCAGGAGCATATGGTGACAACCTCATGCTGACCAAAGGTTAACTCTAGACATGAAATCAAATGTTACTTTCTCTTTGTAGCTTAGATAAAATATTGATTAGCACTACAGGTGCAGAGTAATAATCTACATCCTGGGTTGTTTTGTTGAATGAACTGACCCTGTTTAAGGCCTGCTGAAAACTTTCTGCCCTTCAAGGCTTATGTTACGCTAATGGTGGTGCAAATTTAGCTCACTGGGAATACAAAATTATTACATAACTCCAAGAGGAGTATCTGTACAGTACACATGAGGGAATCGCCTTCTCTACTATTTCTATTATTATTACCATATAGTAATAACAATAATCAAAATAGATGTTTTTTAATCATAAGAATAAAAATACAAATAAATATTAGTCTTAATTCAGAGAAAGGTAGCATCAGTCTACAGCAGGGGGGCAAACTGGGAACATACATAATTGGTGGGGAGTCTGGGGGTCCCACCCCAGAAAAAGATATTCTAATTTCCTGCATTTTTACACCCCCTAACCTCTTTGAATTAAGTCAAGACACAGCCCCCTGCACTGGTCGTCTAGATTAGTTAGACTGAGGTGCTATGAAAACCAAGAATGCATCAAAAACAGTTTATAACTGGTGGAACAGGACAGGAAGTGATTATTAGAAGAATGGCTATTTCATATTTGAAATTATATTATAAAAACATCATGTACTGTATCTAAAATGGTAGGTCACAGGCTACTAGACCATTTTCAAGGTCAAACAAGGACAAACAATTGATAAAAAAAATTAAATTACAACACATTTGGATAATTCAACCAGGTTAAACAATGTTAAACCAGAGGGTTGCTGTTCTCAATACTCACAAGGTCATCTTCAAAGTCTAACAACTGCAACAATTAATGTGCAAACAATCTGGATGAATGAAATGGCTTCACAACAACTACCTAATGCCACCTGTTTATTTTACTCACAGGCTCCAGTGGTAGCTGCTCTCATAGCTCCACTAGTTGCTGTACTTGTAATGGTTTGCAGGAAGGAATAATCATGACTTCAACAGCAGATCATTTAACCTACATTATCTCAGATCAAGGACTATTGTAATGCACACAACCTGTGCTCGGATGTTTAGACTTTGTCCTGTGTGCACAGAAAGTCGATTTAACATAATCATAAATCTATTTCTACATGACTGAGTGGATTTGAGGCTTCCTCTGTCTTCAATTATTTTAACCAAAAATGTAGAATTATATCAATAGATTTTAAATTCAAATGCATACTAACCTAAAAACCTGTTACTGGCATCTAAATGAACGTTTCTGAGCGACAGAGACGCAGAGCGTCTCGTAACCATAGTAACTCCGTCCCATACCTGTCTGCGTGCGCACGGCGTGAGAGGAGCAGCATGGGAGTAAATTACCATCACAGATTTGTGGATATTTCTCACATTACCCCGTCTCGTCTGCGCTGTTCTGTCGTGTCTATCTGTGTGCTGTCAGTGTATTACCGCGCAGCAACGTTATCAGTTATCAATTTGTTTTTCATGCTAATGCTAATTTTTGTGTGTCAAATTGAAATAGCTAGCTGAGGGACGAGCGAGAACATGTCTAGTTCACCTGGGCAACATAGCTTAGTAAATACACAAAAGATGTTAGCCAACTCACAAATGAACATGAAGACTGAAGAAAACTTACCATGAAGAAAGACGATTCCTGAATGTCAGATGATGCTGTTTGTGCCTATAGGCGCTGGATGCATTTGATGACGTATGCTTCTGATGACGTAAGACCATTGATTGATACTAGTAACGTATAAAACTCGTTGTTAACATTGGTTTGGTGTAAAAATCTCCTCATATCTTACACTTTGTTGTCTAGAGAATTATTTATCAAGACCCATATGCTATCAGGTTCACTTGGAGATTTAGAAAATGCAAGTGTGATATGATATGAATTTAACCCCTACAGAATTAATATATTTTTATAATTTATATTTTATAATTAATATATATTTTTTTATTAATCTACACCAGTGTGAACAGACTTCTAAATCATGATAACTAAATACTTATGCCTAAATAGCTCTCTGACCTCTACCAAGAACGGAGTTCACTGACGAGTGATGGTTTGTTTAATTAATAATTAAAGGTTTTGTAAACCAACGTCAGTGCAACTAGATGTGCCACAAGACCAACAGCATCTCAGACCAAAACAAGTTTAGTCGGTTACACAACTGCCTGCCAAAAAGTTCTTTCTGTCCGCGGGAGCGCGCGCAGCCTGTTAAAGCTGAAAAGTGCAGTTTCTATGCCTCTACAGCTGATTTCATCTGGATCAAACAGCCATTACGAACAAATACACTAACTCTATGTCCGAGCTAATAGTGATGTTATGTATGCGTGAGACGATAACGTTTATTTCAACAGAATTTGCGGCCATAAACGTGTTTGCTGTTTACAGTCAATAATGTTATTTTTATGTTTGTGTGTTTGTTATGTCTGATATCCTTGTTAAATAGACTGTAATTAACATGATGTACATCTGACTTATGTATGCAATAAAGACATTTGGGACTGAAAAGGTTTTCTGCCCCAAAATTACTTCAAATCACTCACCACGATTATGATTTGAAGATTATACCATAACCAGTACTCTTTACCTGTTGAAAACTCTGTAAAGGGCCAATGTAGTTGGCAATGCAGTTTTTTACTTGCCAAAAATTGATTCCAGCTCCTAATGTTGGACTGAAAGAGGTTTTCTGCCTCAAAATGTCTTCATGTAACTCACCAGATTTCTAATTTGAAGATTATACCATAACCAGTACTCTTTACCTGTTGAAAACTCTGTAAAGGGCCAATGTAGTTGGCAATGCAGTTTTTTACTTGCCAAAAATTGATTCCAGCTCCTAATGTTGGACTTAATAGGTATATATATATATATAGAGTACTGGTTATGGTAATAAACAAACAACCTAGAATGGCACTCAGTTGAATGCATGCCTCCACCAAGGCCAAACAATCCTACACATGTGCCAGATCTGGATCATTACCTGGATCTACACACAACTGTACAAACTCATAGATCTCAATACAATAAAAATGTCTAATTTTCAAGATTCATACATCATTTCCTGAGCAATTGATTGATTGATTGATTGATTGATTGATTGATTGATTGATTGATTGAAAGTTTTGAAAAATGCCCTGTTTCACAATGTTAAGGGGGGAATGGGAAAAGTAAAAAAAACATAGAAAATCAATGTATGGTGGTCAATGTTTCACATTTGACATTGTTGCATTCTGCCACAAGTGTATAGCAAATGCTGTTAAGAAGAAAAAAGGAAAGCAGTTTTTCCTTCTCACATTTTCTAAATTCATTAATATTCTGTAGGCTAACAACAGACAACACATTCAGTAAATCAACAAACTTAACTACATCAACAAATGTAAGTACCGTACAAAAGGAAATCAAGGAAATTATTGACCAAAAATGACCTTCATATTTAGACAAATATCAAATCACTTGATGAAATTGTTAATTTTAACATTTATTCAAGAAATATCTAAACACACTGGATTCTTAAGGACATAACATTGGATGCTGATAGACACTTGCTTATGCTTTTAAAGCTGCATTGAGTTGGTTGGATGGAAAATCAGGTCTGTGTAGTGAGCTGGAACAAAGCCTTTGACAGATTGTGTGACAGTATCTGCAACCTGTCTGTGCTGTTAATTACAATTTTTGTAAATCTCCAAAAGAGACAATCCAACATGAACACCCACGTCACTTGGTGAGTGAGAAGGTAAGAGAGTAGGCAGGATATGAGCTTCTCTTTTAAGCTCTCTGTGTTCATCCTTCCCACTACTTCCATCACTTTTTGTATACGTACAATGTATACGAGTGTGACACCATGTAAGCCTCAGAGGAGAGACTATAAAAGTACATCATTGTCCACATTTGACAGATAATCTCATTTCAACTTTTGCCTAATACGTGGTTGGATGACACTTTGTACAAATTTCTTTGTATCAAGCATAACCCCAGCCTTACTGAAAAGAAAGAGAAAGGGAGAGAGACAGATCCATTGTATAACATCTGAATGACCTTTATTTATAGCCTTCCACATCTTTACCTTTCAAAAACAAGTTTTTCTGAGGAAAGGATGACATGTCAGTCATATCATTCAGGTGGAAACAGAGTAAAAGAAACACTGAATTAAATAGGCCAGCTAAACAAAAACAAAAACTAGAGTTAGAAGTGTTACTTCACCCAAATCACAAAAAAAACAATTTCTTACTTAAACCTAGTAATTCAAATTTAATTTCAATTTCACAGATGAAATACAATTTTTCTCCAGTGTATTTGGGTTGCAACATAATATCAGTAAACAAAACACAACTATTTGCATGGGTGGATGTCACTAGGGGAAGAGGGGGAAATACTCTGTTTTGTGTGATATGTGTGACTATATTATGCATCCATTTATGGCTTTGATCACCTATTAACCCTATGAAACTATGATACCTTTTGTATTTTGTGTAATCTCCTGTTTTTTGAGATCATCACTTTTTCATGTATCTTGAATACAAAAAACAAATATTTACAATATGCAGTATATTTATGATGAAACACAAAGCTTTTAGGTGTGTAAACTCCCTCATCACCCATTAGAAGTTTTCTGCTAATAGGAAAGCCGCTTTGTGAAAGCAACTTTTTTATACAGTTATTAAAATCATTATAAAATGTGGGTCAGCAACTTAACAAAAGGAAATACAAAAGGTTATGATCCAGTCTGCTACATTGGCTGTAAGGCAAGTCCACATATGTTTTCATCACACTCTGCATCACTTGCAACAGTTTCTTTGAGATTCTGTGTGATAGTATCTGCTGGTGACACAGTAATGGAGGGTTTTACTTTGAAAATGTCCCACCTTTCAGGAAGCAGGCCATGGTTGAACAAGAACAAACCCAGCATGGAAAACACTATGATGGTCACAAGGGTGCAGAGCATGGAGACTGTTCTGATCGGGTACTTTTGGACATAGATGCCATCTTCCAACGTGCAACCAGGAAGTTGAAGAACGACAGGAAGACCTATAGTGTTCTCTCCCAACAAAATCCTTACAGTCAGCCCTATGATGTAACCCACCATGGCACCGTATCCATTTGTCATTTCAATGAAGAGCACGCAGATCAGGTGGGGGAATATAAGGGTGTAGGAAACATCTGCTCCAAGAATCCAGAGGACCAGGGTGCTCTTGGTGAAGAACGTTATGGATGTCCCAACCACACCCACCACCACCACTGTGACCCGAATCACCCATTGTATTTCATAGTCTGAAGCCTAGGGACATGGAGACGAGTAAAAAGAAACACTTCATGATTCATTCATGTATGTTGGATCCAAAATGGATTTATTTAATTTGTTTGTCCTTTTTTAGTTTGCAATGAATGGAAACATTAAGGACAGAGAGACCAGCCCTAGCCCACAGGTCTAGAGACACACTGTGCCACTGAGCTGCCACCGTCAACATCCGCACTTCCTTACCTGTTTACGCAAAATGTTCTTGTAGATGTTTGACGAGAAAACAGAAGTTGCAGACAAGAGGCTGGAGTCTGTGGATGACATGACAGCAGCAGCCACAGCTCCGATTCCAATGATTGAGATGTAAGATGGAGTGAGGTATTGTAGGGTCAGGGGAAGGACCAGACTCTGCTCACCACGTATGTATGGAGGTGGAGAGCCATACAGCGTCAGGTTCCAGTCTGGACAAGAGAAATGACAAAGTTCAATTTCCTCACCTGGATATTATATCCTTACAGCACTCCAACAGAAATCTTGGCTCTATTCTGTAATTAAAAGGTTTTGCTATCAAAGACAGTTCTCTACCAACTCGCATTTATTTATAATTATATAATATTATATTTATAATAATATAATATATAGAATTATAAAACGTTTACAATCTATAATGACATAAATTAAGTTGTATTAAACTGAACAAGCTGTACACAAAAAGCTGTGTTTCTCTGATAACTTAAGACCCAGATACCAATGACTAAAATCCTCCATCTGGTTAAAATGTATTGTTAAAAAAGACCAAGATCTAAGAAGTGTATCGTAAAACTGTGGCTTAAAACGGGATAAAAAATCCATATTGACCACTTCTGGCAGACAACCACAATGCTGACAAATAGAGACACATAGAGAATATGACGGCATTGGCAGGCAACCAAATGAAACAGTTACCTTGATTAAAATTACGTATTTCTCAAGGTTTGAAAATTGCTCGAAACATTTGAGATAATATAAGGTAAGGTGTAAGGATAGGTCTAATCGTTTTTTGGCTTTTTAATGTGGAAAAATTACATATTATACCTTTATGGCAAACATGTTAGCAAATAGTTGCTTATTTACACATCTAGCAGAAACACAGCATCATTACCATTCATTTGGTGTTGTATTTTTAGCCGTCTGATTCAAACTCCTGAGGGAAACATCTATCTCTTCAGTTACTAAATACCCCATTGTGTTCACCAGCTAGTTGCTAATTTTGTCTCCCTGACCTCTCTGACTTTAGGTGCTGGGCAGGTAGTGCACAATGAGTGTTTTCACTGAAAACAGCTGCCTATTGTGGCTATTAATGGGATTGATGAGAGCACTGACAGAGAACCAAATGAGCAACTACAAAGCTGGGTGATATTTCGCTGAGTTCATCCCTTTGTGCAGTCCCTTTAACATAACACATTTGTTCCACTGTTAACATAAAAACATTGACTTGTATTTTGTTACACAACATCTGAAATAACAGTCACAGGCTGCAACAAACAAGCAAAAGAATTCATCAAATTACTAGAACCCCATTTCATATTCAATAATCAATAGAACAATCAAAATACAAACATAAAACGGAGATAAAAAAAATACAAGGACAACGTGAAATAAACACAAATAGTATTTATCAAAAAGAAAATCTTATATATTACAGTAATCTTATATAGAATATAAGCTATAGTGTAGCTTATATTCATTTCCAATTCCAGATGAGCATTAGAGTTTATATATCATTTTGAATTATATTTACACTTATTGTATATGTACAAAAGCAACCTAACTATCAAAACAGTCAGAAAAGCCTGCCTCACCTAGCCCCACAAACACAGCATCTGCTGTTAGCCATGTCTACAGCCTCTGACTGACCAGGTGTTTAATACCTGAATGTTGTGCTCAACGGAAGCACTTGAAGTCAAAGAAAATAACTGTAAGACAGTAGCTGTATCTGTTTTATATTGTTCCAGTATGAAAAGTGGAACAAAGAAGCATTTGTTTTGCCTAAAACAATAATCTACAAATGATTACTATTCAGGAAGTAGAATGAGGCTCCTTGTGTTCCAGGTCAAAAGTATTGCAAAGTGAGTGTTATAGAGAGTGCTTGTGTGACAGGGGCCTCTGTTTAATACTGGGCAAACTGTCTGTGGGCTTTCAAGAAATAAGCAGTGCTTTACAGTAGATCAGCAAACCGCATTTTCACAGAAAGCCCAGAATTGAAGCTTAGTGCAAGTTCAATCAGGAAGACTAGCTCTATTCTCCCTCTCTCACCCCTCTTCTCCTCATAATCACCAGATTTCAGGTGTTCGGGAACCAATCACATCGTGCCACAATCTCATACTGCCAATCAAGTTGTCCCAGTCATACTTTAAAATTGGTTCTCCTCTCTCTCCCATCGTCAGCTGTCATCTCAGAGCGGTTGCTGCGACCCTCCTCCAGCCCTTTCACCTCCAGTCTTCATATCGAGTTAGGCTGAGCTCATCATCACTCTCTTCACATCCAGATCTCCAGCCTCTCCCCTTCCTATCTCCAGGACCACCACCAGTGTCTAGACCCGGGGGGGTTTCCTATATTTTGCCATGGTCTGATGTACACCGACCATGGTAACTAGCAAACTAGTGCTGCTTTCTCTGTTATATTGCAAAATGACTAACAATCAATAATTTGTCCAAAGAACACAAATAGCTCCAGACCATAATGTGTTTGTATTAAAGGTCTGTCATCTCGAACCTAATTCCCACCTGTGGAGGCGGCGACAGCCCCGACCAAGATGGGGGGGACTCCCAGTATGCTGATGACAAGTGCAGCAGCGTAGCAGGTTAACTGGGCTGTTAGTGTTGAGGAGGCAGACAGCGTCCTCTGGTGGAAACTCTGAAATGCAACACTGCCAAGAGCCTGGAAGAAAAGAGCAGAGGGAGAGGAGGAAAATGCACGATGAGGACGAGGAAAGATGAGGAAGACGGGGAAAGAGTGAAAAGATAAATTGATAGAGAGCATTTCTCCATCACACTGTGAAGTTCAGGAAGAAACAATGTCCTAAAGATTTCTAATACTGCTCTGACAAGTTGAAATATTTACTCACAGCGATTTATTTATTCATTCCCACTATACCTACTCCAATTCAAGAGCTACAGTCTGTCACAGAATGCATCTCGCCAAAGGCAGCAAAACACTCTAGTAAGGTCAAAGGTCAAACACAGGGTCCATCTTAGTTGTGTTCTTAGAGCTGTGGAAGGAAACCAGAGAAACCGCGGAGTAACTCACACACAGACTCTGAGCTGACATTCAGACCTTAGACCTTACTTGTGTGAAGTAGCATTGCTAACCATTGAACCACTGAGGTGACCTTTATATGACATTGTAATTTAGGGGCAGGGTGAGACTCACTGTTGTAGCGTGGTTAAGTGGTGAAGAGGTGAGTTTTTATATTTATATACTTTATATATCCATTACAATCATGTAACGTTTTATATTTTTTAATATAAAAAACCCAGTATTTGACAACAGTGTAGATGTAAATGTTATACAAGCTTTACGTACAAATAAAAATAAAAAGCCATGCACACATCTCCAAATGAACAACTTCTCACAGCTGCATGTCTAAGTCATAAGAAGCAACATGATGTGCATGTATATCATGTACTGTACAACTGCTGTCACGACAACTACTGACCTCACCTCCTCTTGCCTCTCTTCAGCCTCCTGTTACTGGTATTAATCCTGTTGTATTTATCCTGCTTATTCACAACCTGTCAAACCCACTCACTTCACCGTTACCACACCATTAATCCAGCTGCTCCATTATTCTCCAATCAGCATCAACTATACAGAAAACTTCAGTCGTGAAAAGTAACTGATTAAATTTGTTCAAGTACCATATTTAAGTGAATATTGTAAATGTAGAAAAATATTGACGGTACTTGTTGTTCTACATATCTATATCGTAGGTAGATGTCATAGGTACTGGAGATGTGATTCTTCCAGCACTGATGAGGCAGTATAATAACCCTGTAAATGTGTTGTAGTCTGACAACAAACGAAAAAGAGAAGAAGAAGACAGGCACAGTAAACAATAACAACACATGGAATGGCAGCAGCAAGTGCTGGTGCAGCGACAGGTCTGAGGCGACTTGTGGAAAAAAAAAGACACACAGAGAAACAGTATCGTTTTTGTACCCAAAGGTACATTTTTCAGAAAAAGTACCCTGTACAGTACTGAAATGGTCCTTAGGGAGATAACTGTGGAGCTTTGTTTAATTTTAAAGGTACAAAATCATTGCTGACAGCAAAAGGTACATAATTGTACTTTTAACAAGATTAAGGTACAGGCAGGTGATGCGGCGAGTCAGACAGTTGGGTTTGTTGTAATAAAACAGGCTACAATTTCCATTCAATTCTTGGTCTGGGAATAATTTTATCAGCTTCATTAACAACATAGCTGGGTTTGCATTTTAGTGATTTCAGCCAGTCTTTACATTGTTATAATGCTGTTAATAATGTTGTAGGGTCATAAGGCAGACTTACAAAGCCAGATCTGCTTTTTGTCATGTGCTGGACCTTTTTTAAGGATAAATCAGTTCCATCACAACAATACATTGAAATGCACTGAAAATGGATTAGTTTACATCTAAAAGGTTGATTTTGTTATAAGATGTAAACTAATTGTCGGTTTTTTAAAAATAGATTTTAGTCAATAACTGTAAACAACTTTGTGTCTGAATTTAGGGGCATGTTTTTGCCTCATAGAGGTACAAAATGACATGTCACTCCAACTGTACCTCATAAGGTACCAGTTCTGTTTAGTGGTATTTGCAGGGGCCATGGGTGTGAGTCCGACCCGTGGCCCTTTGCTGCATGTAATTCCCTCTCTCTCTCCCTGACTTTCCTGCCTGTCTCTCACCGCACCTACCTGCTAGGGTGCACCTGGAGCAACAAAGCCTTTGTACCTTTTTAGGTCCATTCCTGTACTTTGATTTCTTAGTGTGCACGGGGACATTTTGAACTTGACACAGATCATCAGGGAAAAGTTCTAGACAACCAAAAGCCATATATGGCTGTCTGATTATGTCCAAATGTTAACCTATATAAACTGACTTCTTTGGACTTCTCAGTGCTATTTAGTGATAGTTTCAGTTTTAGCCAGACTTTAAATTAAATTATTTTTAATTCGAGGAGGATGTATCGATAGAAGATGAAGGAAGGTGGCAAGAACGGGGGACAAGTCGGTGAGTACTGCGTGTACAGTGGGTATTCTTAAGGGTGTATCTAATGGTGCAGTGCAGATGTAAACCCTAGTTGTCACATGTCAAGATGACTCCTAACATTGTGCTGTTCTGCTGTCACAGCAATATTTTCCGTTTGAAGTGTTTGTCATGCACACGCAATAAACATCAAAAACCCTGTTCTGTGTATGAATGGCCAGGAAATCTAGTCCGGCAGATTTCTTTAATTCTCTACCTTGATTATGGAAACAAGATTTCACATTTACATGAAACTGAAGAAATCATATTAGTGCAGAACGCGGATAGTAACTCAGTTATATTCATGTAAAGGCACTGACATTAGGTCTGTCGGTCCAGTGCCTGTGCTCTTGGCTTATGGATGGAACCAGGAAAAATACACATATTTGCCTACAAAGGTTCAGGTCCAGTAAGTCAAAGAAGTATGAATATTCTCAACTCACCAGCATCAGGAAGTCATCAGTCCACCTCAAGACTTTATCCTGCTCCAGGGTGCCAACCCAGGGCTCTTGGAACGTGTGGTTAAAGGCAGTCTGGGCAATGTTTGTGGATATGGGGTTGAGCAGAAGGAAGGGAACACACAGCCACTGCAAACAGATATCGAGATCATGAGACTGAAGACCTGAACACAACAAGTCGGTTATTTTGTCAGATGTCAAAGTGAAAATATGACCTTTGAATATTTGTAAAACCCCCCCCCCTTTTCTTTTTCACCTCTCCGTTGAGAGGTTCTTTGTGTTTGTACGTGTCTCCCATACTGCCAACTGACTAAATGGATTGAGGTAATTTTCTTAAAAGATTCAACTGACAGTGGAGACACTAAACATGGGGAGAAAGCTATGAAGACACACCAAAGGTTTCTAGTTGGATTTAGACCAGGGTCTTTGCAGTTAACATGGTGTGCTCCTTAGGCATTGAAGACTTTCCAGGATGAGTGTAATTGTTTTTGCTGTTTGCGATATATGTGTTTCCAGTAACCGTTTTACTAACGTGTCAAAATGTATCTCAAACCATTTCGCCTGCTTCGGGATCAGCTTGTGAATTCCCATCTGACTTTTTCAGCTCAGAATTGAGACTCTGCTTGAGAGCTCCATTTTGTTTCAGAAAATTTGGATTTGTTGTGCAAACTTCTTAAGATTGATGCAACAGCCGCTCAACTACAACAAACAAAAAAACAGGATTATTTTAAAGGGTTAAGGCTTCTAGTGATTTCGAAACAACATGACAGAAAAACAGCTCATTTGAGACATTGCTTGCAAAATACATTTATACAATTTTATACAATTATTTATATTTTATACAATTATCCAGAATACAATGATTTCACGCTGTTTCTCATGCCTTTTTCTGTGCCTCTACTACTACGATATGTTAATATGCTGTACATACCTGTAGACACTGTATGTCTTGGGGCACCCCGATGGCTCACCTGGTAGAGTGCGCACCACGAAATCCTAACCGCAGCGGCCCGGGTTTGAATCCGACCCGTGGCCCTTTGCTGCATGTCATCCCCCCTCTCTCTCCCTGACTTTCCTGTCTCTCTCTCTCTCTCTGCAACTATCGGATTAAAGGCAAAAAATGCCCAAAAAAATAACTTAAAAAAAAAAAAAGACACCGTATGTCTTTAAAAAGAATGTGTGCTACTGTAAAAGATGCTGTAACTCACCAAACTGAGGAAAACTAGAGAGAGCTGGATGATGTCAGTGTAGGCCACTGAATACAGGCCTCCTGACAAAGTGTAGATGATGGCCACGGCTGATGAGATCCAGACAGAATAACTATATGGCAAGTCCAGTATCACACTCATAGTTGTTCCTGTCAGACAAAAACCACAAACACAGATGTGCAAATTGAAATGCTTTAATTGCAACCACTAAATAAAAAGGTGTGTTTTTACTTGATATGTCGGTGTGTTTACCTAAACCAAGCAGAGTGCAGGACACCCACAGCACATCCACCAGCAGAGAAGGCAGTACCAGAGCACCACTCAGCACTGTGCCGTACTTCCTCTGGAATGGGTCCATGATGGTGATATACTTCTTGTCCCTCATTGGCTTGACAAAGAAAAGACCACCTTGTGCAGTGGGGGAGATTAACTAATACTTTCTATTTGATATCAGAATACATTTTTAAGAACTCTAGTTTTGCGTTAGACAGTTTTCACCATGTCCTTGAGTTTTTTGATGCTGCATGCACTATGTGATTTCAGAAGGCGAGCCAACACACATGGCAACACATCCAATCAAGGTCAGACAAATCCTACAAATACCTTGGGATAATTATTGAACTTTGAGGTAAATTGTGAATCTGTGTGTAAAAAGTGGCATCAGCGCTTGCTGTGTCTGAGGAAACTGTTGCATTTCCAGATTGACAAGACCATGATGATTTGATTCTACCGTGCTTTAATTAAATCGATTTTATCCTTTTCTCTGGCATCATAGTTTGGAAATCTGTCTTTGAAGAGCAGGAATTCTCTCAGCCAAATTGCTAAATGGTCCAGTAAGCCGATTGGTGAGTCACGTCTTAACCTAGCATCCCTGTACACCAGACAGTTACAGCGGATAGCTGGATTTTAAATGACGACTCCAACCACTTGAACTGTGTGCGTGGGACTGATGACTCTTTTATTGCAAACAGAATTTACCTACGGGTACAAATAAAGTAACCTGAACCTGAACTTGGACTGTGCACTGCAAATTATCAATATTAAGCACATCATGCTCACCAAAACAAATTCCTGACTGTGCACACTACAGTGTTGTACATCTTAATGTAGCACTTTAATAAAATCAGTTAGATCACATCATAGAAACAGTACGTCTTACCTATTATGAAAGACACAGAATACTGTATAGGCATAAGAGCCCACATCAAGCCCAGTTTGGGAGTGTACACTGCCTCAGCTAGACCCAGGAGAAAACCACCTCCGACCCATGTAGCTGCAGAAAAATCACACACACACACACACACACACACACACACACACACACACACACACACACACACACACACACGCACACACACAAATAAAACAATTCAATTGGAATATAATTTCCTGCAGTGTGAGTATGCTGCAGTCCAGATATTGCTGAGGTATATGGACGTGGATAAAACAGTGATCCATAAAACTATAGTAGAATAAATAAAAGAAAAAACAAAGGTGTTGTGTATCATCTAGCAGACTGCATTTGCTTTTGCAGTTTCACCTGTGTTTACATGCAGTAAGAGTCACTATCACTTGAGCTGGGAATTAAACAACTGGCTATTTGTTTAAGACAAACATAGTTGCATTAACAGACAGACCCCTCCTACTATCCATAACTGTGGGTGTTTTCAAATATTTTTCCAGTCACTAATATGTTTAATAAATATTATTCTACTACATGGTGTTGGTTATTGTGGTTATTGATTATTGTTTACTGATTAAGAATGCAATACTTCGTGTGCTGCACTTCTTTTCCAGACAAACTGGAATGAAAGCATTGACTGATGCAGCCTTGAAAACATGTCCATATTTAGCAGCAGCTGGTTGCGCAAGATTGAACCAAGTTACCCACATTGAATTTGGCACAGTGGCTATCTTGCTGTTAAATTTTATTGGTCTGGCAGTTGAATTAAGAGCTAATGTGTTTCAAATGAAAGGAGGACAATATGTACATTCTGGCCATAAAGTAAATGTTACTATAGCAATCAATCATCCACTTTTCACATAATACAGTCAGCAATTAAAATTACACATCACAACATCTTGAATGCATTAGGCTTGGTGCATCTGTGTCTTGAATCATGAATCACTCTAATTACAGCCCGTGACATGAGTACAATGTAATCCCAAAATTAGCTAATCTGGCCCCTAATGCATTATTTGACCCCAATGAAATTAAAAGTATCCACCGGATTACTAAATTTTAATGATCTGTGAAGCTGCAGCCTGGCTGGTCTTCTCCTGAAATGAAAAACACTGATTTGGATGTTATCCTCAATAAAATACACAATGCAGTTGCTCTTTGAGTTAGCCTGCACTCTGATGCAGTAATCAACAATAAATGATTCCAGATTGACAACTACTGTTCATCCTGAGAGAATAACATTTTCTCAGGATAAAAACATAACAGCAAGAGCTGACCTAGTAAAAACTGCATTTTTGTTAGTGCATCAATCTCTTGGAAAAGTCTGCAATGTCAACAAGAAGACTGTCATTAACCATCCTCTACCTGCTTGTGACTTCTTTTGCAGACCATGCACATTGCATACTGTCTGATGTCTGTTTTAAATATGTGTCTTGTTGCTGTGTAGCTATAATTTCACTTAACTATGCTATAAAAGAGCAGGTATGCACAGCAACCCACCAAGTATAAATAAAGGCTTAATGAATAAATAAATAAATAATAACTTTTCTTTACCCCAAAAGAATGACATGATTAACTTAATCTGGAAAAAATAATATATGACAAAATAAACATATTCATAATCATATTATCTATTATCATCTAGGCTAAGATGAGTTTCTGAGTCCCACTGAATAACTGACCACTCATGGTGAAAATCCCAACCAGCAAGTTGATATTCCTGTCTCCAAGGAGAATCACTTCGGTTCTGTTTCCACGGCTGTTCCTCTCAGCCTTCCTGGACTTCCGGGCGGCCCAGAACCCTGTCCCCAGAATAAGCAAGTAGAACACCACCACCGCAACCACGCCGGGGATGTTCAGAGCCATGGTGGTCAGCCACTATGGAGCACACTGACAAACAGATCAGATGAATGGATAACAAATACTGACACTGTATATTTACCAAGAGGGTGCAGGCACAAAGGTCGCCAACTGAATCAGGAACCCGGAAACCGTGTTTTAGTAGCACTCATGAGTTCACCAGACGTCGCAATATTGCTGATAGTGATTAATTTAACGTCACTTAAAGTGCCAGTGAATGAAGGCAGTGGGTATGCCAAAACCACAGCACTTACCCATCACCACATGAAGGATGAGCAAATATAAATAAAAGATACTGCAGCTGGTGTTAGTGGAAACTGGTTTTAAAAAAAAGGCTGGCACAACACTTACAGTAAATAATACAGCCGACAGCATTGCAAAGAAAAAAAAAATTCAAACACTGGTAGACTTAAAACAATAAGTTAATTGTTAGATTAAGCGATTACTCAACTGAATTTTTTTTTTTATCAGTCTTATAAGTAATTTTTTGAAGCAGAAACTTTTCTCTGGGTTCATTTTCTGCTGTGAGAACTTTATGTTGCATATCTTGGTATTTTAGACATTTTCACCAGTCTCTTATCTTTCACAGTCCAAACAATAAATTAATTGATAGGAGAAAATAACATGCAGGTTATTAAATGGAGAAAATAACTGGTAACTGCACTTCTACACTGTGGCTAAAGCTAAAACACTGCAAGTCAAACCACCACCATAGGTCACTAAAAGTATCACTAAAGCACAAAACAGTTTCTACTACAATGTAAGTAGAAAAGTAAGCCCATGTAAAATTATATTGTTTCCACTCTTTAATACCCAAATATCACCGTTTCCGTTGCTAACCACAATATGTAGACTGTAGCTGTTAAATATTTCATAAAATGACTTTTCATATTACCACCCTATGAGGACCAAATGTTTACAACTTTCTGACTTATTCGGATGCTGAGGAGCCACATGTTCATGATATTGCTGCCTCATTTCACTGGAAGTGTGTTGCTTTTGAAACAGCTGTGGTCCAAATATATTTATCTGAGCTACTGACATTAGTAAACTGCAAACAATGACCCATTCACAAATGACCATGACAACAAGTTAGCAAACAGTTTGAAACACGGAAATAATACTTTTACAACTAGCTACCGTTAGCTAAATAACAAGTATTTACACCAGTCTAATAAGCAGTGACTTCATGACTTGAAGAGCCTAACAATTCAATGCATTCATACCGTTAGGAGCAATAACAAAAATGTTTACAGAGTGGGCTCTACAGTAAATTCATTTACAGTTATGTCTCTTTGACTTACCTTACTTTGACATCTGCAGTCTGTTCCACGGTCTGTTCCACTGTGGTCAAGCCAGCCGTCATCCGTGGCCAAACCAGCTGCTCCTGTGGTCAAACCGTCATTGGTCATTCGTGTCTCCGTGGTCAACCCAGCCGTTCCTGTATTTCGAGTGCGCGATTTATCAAATATTTACGAAAGTCGCACTGAGACAGCTCTGGGGAAATGCTGGAAATTGCAAATCAAGCGAAAAGGGTTATTATAGTTCTCTGGAAGGGACAAATTGTTGACTGCTCAAAAACTACACAGTAAAAGTACTTCATAGTAATTTCGCACGTCCAGCTGTGTATGTGTTTGAACTACTTATGTAAAAAGAAAAATTGAAGGAAATAGATTATATTTCAGATTCTTTTCCTTTCATGTTTCAACACACATTGTTCTGTTAAAAGAAATATTGGAAATGAAATCCCACGCGATCTTTTATTTTGAAATCCAGGGGTACTCCTTGGTGGGATTTACAGCTTGTATCTTGTATCTAAGTGGCCGACTATAGTATACTGTATATGAAACTTCATTGAACTTTATCATTCGATGTTCCTGCAGGTCATTTACTAGAATAATTAAGTGTTCCAGTATCACTTTTTTTTACATGTGAGATTATATTCAAAAGTCATTTCCAGCAGTTGTTTCAGTGCGACTACCGTAAAAATTTGATAGATCGCGCACTCGAAATACAGAAAAGGTTGGTTTTGACCACGGAGACACGAATAACGGATGGTTTGATCGCGTAGTCTCGTTCCTCTGGATGTTTGTTATATTTTTTGGAGAAGTTGTGGTTAAGGCAGGTACTCAAACTATGACACGACCAGTTACATTGTGTCAAATGAATCTAATAAAATCCAGTGAAAGTGGTCGTTTCCAAACAAGGACCAACCAGAAATCACCGTCTTTTAAGAAATAACCGTTAGAAATGAGTTCAAGTCCGCAGAACACAGCAGGAGTGGGCGGATCGACCCAAAAATATAGATACTAACTACGTCTCGTTTTTGACGATCGATTCTAGCGTCAGTAGCATCGACACCAGTCTCGGTTTCTCTCTACTATGTTCGACTCATTTCATCAAAGAGCAGAACTGTCTTTGCAAACTTATAAACTTGTGCACACACTCTTTACGTCTGCGCTACTGTTGTCCTGTCGCACGCACTCAAACATAAACACGAGCGTCGCGCACGCGCAGCGTACCCTACCCTCTCTGACACAGGAATGCAGTGATGGCTGACAGAAGGAGAGGCATCCTGTGGAGCTATTTTACAGCTGTTAGTGAAAACAATGCCAACTTAGAAGGCTCTTCTCTACTGTGGCAGTACCATCAATGTGTTTAAACACTTAAAAATCACGAGGCAGAGAACTCTGACCTGGAACAGAAAACAAGGGAGGTGGAGGGAAATGCCTCAGACAGACACAGAGACACAGTAGCCTACTCTGGCAGTCTTTACAGAGAGGCAAGGAATATCCATTAGTGAAATCAACAGTTTGGTCAAATGTGATCTTCAGTATTGGTATGTTATATTTTCTAACTGAAATTGGCTGTTACTGTAATCATTAGCTGTTACTGTAGCAGACTGATTAAAGTTCCTCTCCAGACATGTTTTAAACTATGTAAAAAATACATAAAATGCTATGATTAATATTTTGTTTGACATGGTCTTCCCACATAACATGAAACTGGGGCTGAAGCAGGCTTTCTTCCTCTTTGAGAAATTCTGGATCAGGCCTTGTGCCTCGCCCACGACTACTGCTTGCGCTAGGTTGAGGTGAAAGAGCAGTGCGTATAGAGATGGTTAGCGTTAGAGGAAACATTGGAGAGAGTCTGATCTGCTCTACATTAGTGATGTATCATAACGGTTGGCGTAGGTAGCATCTTTGAATTTTTTATGTTGTTTATCAGCTTCTAAATGGCAGTGGCTGACACAGAGTTAGTGGATGTGCTAATGTAAACTCACCTCTCTGTACTGACAAGGTTTCAGGTTTATTTTGCCTGTGGCAGCAATATGAGGAATGCTGCTCAAATGACATGTGCCAAGAGCCACAGAGCCTTACTGAACTCATGCCATGTTGATGAGAACTGGAAAATAAAAGCATATATAGCAACCTGTAGTTTTGCAGCAACACAGTGCTGACAACATTTGCTCAGAATGAAAAAGAATCACTGTTGAATGGGGCTAACTGGCAAAATAAAATGCCAAACCAGTTATAGCCTACAAGTGAATTGTAGAAGTTTATAGCAGTGAGCAGCAGACAGACAAACTCTGCCTGCTATGAAAAACCACACGCCATGTGAAGTCAGCAGTGTCAGTTGTTGCATGTAACCAATAAAGAATAATCAGCAAATTGATCATGCTAATATTCCATCCATTCACATAGATTTAAGATTATTATTTTTTCAGTTTAAAACATCTACATAAATAACCCTTTCAGTCTATAATTCATAAGCATACATGTTTTTTTTTTCTAAGGAAAAAAGTATCAAACTATCCTTTTAAATTCTTTTTTCTCTTTTCATTTTAAACGTAACCTAAAAGATGTCCTCGCACCAAAGGCAGTGGAGGAAGTGGTGAAGATTTTTTGACATCATAGAGACTTCCAACGTTTTCTGTTCAAACTGATGCCTCAAACAAAGGAAAGAGAAAAATATTTCCGCTTGCAGTGCAGTTCTTTACACGTGAAAAAGGAGTAATGAACAAAATGATTGATTTCATGGAAAATCCCATCCCCCCCAGACTATGCTGACGCTCAGCACAGATGTTGCTGGAATGCAGGGTGAAGACAACCATGATGTTGTGGAGGTTTACCTTCTTTTCTGCAATAACATTTTGTCTCTTTTTGAAGATGTTGTGAAGAAGCTTGAGGCCAATTGGACTACCTGTGTAGAGCTGTACTCCATTATGCATTCCTTTAGAGCCAAACTGATACAAAGGCGAAATGATCAGTTCTTTGGCTACTTGACAAAAGTGAGGCAGCAGCATCTTACACCAGTTGATACAGACAAGGCAAAGGAAGAATTCATTGCATTCATTGACACATCCATCATTGAAAAATGGTTTGACTTTTCCAACAGCAACTGGCTTTACTGTAGTCAGCCCCTCCCTCTCCAAGATGGCAAGATCACCTTCAGTGCAACCTGACAAGCAGACTGAACATGGACCAGCTGTATGATGAAGGCACTACAGTCAACTGCCTTCTAGAGAAGCTTCAGGACGCTGATCAATGGAGGAGCAAAAATGTAGCGGTGAGGTGGATGGCTGTATTTCAAGCATCTGATCTACCAAATATGGTGTCAGTTATCTCCTACATCATGAACATACCAGCTTCAAAGGGATATGTGGAAAGAATCTTCCTCTCACAGTCCTCTGTCTTCTTAGAAAGAGGTCACTGTGCTTTAATGAGGAAGATGGGTCCACGATCAGGCTCTCCGCTGATGTCCTGAAACCCTTTGAGGAGGTTACAAGAGTGATATCAGCTGAAAAACATGTTTCAGTTTCAAAGGTGATCCTCCTCATTTCAATACCTCTGAGAGCAACTGCATCTTATGAGCACAAAGGTAGCAAGCTAGCTGCTGAGCTGCCACTGTAATGCCAATATCGTTTCAAAGGTATTGAAACCTTTTACAGTCTCGCTGTCACCACCTTCCTGGACTCAGGATTTTAAAATCTTGGGTTCAGCAGTGCAGCAAATGTTGAACACATGAAAGGGTGACTCATCACTGAAATAAAGTTAATGAACGAGATCTCAGCTACTTCAGTGTCAGCTCCTGAACCTGCCTAGAACTCTGCCTCAGCAATGGAAACTGTGACTTCCTCAAGCTTCCCTGCAGGGGCTGCTGCATCCCAACCTGCAGCAAAAGGTGAGATATGGGCAGAGTTTGACATTCAAGTGCTTGCTTCCCAGCAGCATCGCAAGACTGACACTGATTGTCTTAAATGATATCTAACTCAGTGGCTTTCAACAAGGGGGCTCAGGCCTCAGGGAATATTTCCTTGGACATGGAAGAGTCTTACTGGTGAAAAGGAACCATTGCTCCAACTGAAGGAATAGAACTGAAGGACAGAAGAGTCGTTGAGGGTAGTTTTTGCTTTTATTTGCACTGGATAAACGTAAAAGTTGCATTATTGTTCTCCACAAATAACTGATTAATTTAGCTTCTTTTTTTTTTTTTTACAACATGCTACATAAATGAATGAAGCCACTTTTGTCCTGCTTCACTACATACATAAATATGTATGCGTACATAAATTCTGACACTTCTTAAAATGATTGCTAACCTTTGTCAAATCATTTAGTGTCCCTTAAAATGTATTAAAATTTAATCAATTGATGATGCATATACCTCATTAATTACGACACACTGCTCTCCCCTACATGAAAATACATAGACTGCTTTTAATTATAAAAAGTATCTGTATCAATATTCTTGGAATTGGATTGAAAAGAATTTTACAGTATTGCTCTCCCTCAGCCAACAGCACACGCATTGAAGCGCTCCTCACGTACATGTAGGAAGGATGTGCTGATGTGTGTGATACTTTAGCTGTTTGTGATGTACAAGATTTTCCTTTTTTTTTTTTGCAAGTTCCCTAAAACTATCAGAAGACATACAGAAGACATGATCTCAGTGGTAGCTATGGCCCTGACCCCTCTATCCTTAGGGTTCTGCATTGTCTGTACACTGGACCCATCCTGGAGAACACAGCTTCAGCTCAGATTCTGGAGGTATCACGGTGACTTTACCCACTGCACTTTGTTAAAACCAGTTGCTCCCGCCTGTGACATGTGGCAATGCTGCAAAAACTTGAGTGTTGTGGAGACACATTCAGTAACAAAACTCACCTTTGACACACACAGTGGTTAGTTGTAGTTCATTTCTAAACAAACAAAACACAAAAGCAATTCAACCTTCAACACAAATGACTCAACTTTCAACTTTTTTGGTCAGGTATAATTTGAAGTACTATTTTATACACACAAACAGCAAACAAGTTATATTAATCATTTAACTATTTATTTAAATTGAGAGAAGACATGAGCTGAGATGAGAATACTGCTCATATAAATTACTGTCAGTGTATTGCTTACATAATGTCCTTGGTATTGCGGAATTTCCCTTTGATAACTGTCTTTGGTATTTGCCAATAAACACTCTGAGATGAACACATTTAGAGAACAGTAAATGCAATTCAATTTGCATACTACAAACCACAGACTGTTTCAGGAACAGGAAAACAATATTATCTACATATGTACTCCAACAACATACAAGGTTTGACTAAGATTTAAAAAAAAAATACATATATATACTATATATATATATATATAGTATATATATGTATTTTTTATATCACAGTATATATCACAGTTTTTATGTTTTGGTGTTGCACAACCCTTTAAAGAGAAAATAAGGAGCACTAGTGTCATATAATCTTACAATGTCTATCAGCTGTCCCACTGTGGAATGTGTTGTCACTATTTATATATTCCTACTGAAAAATACACTTGTCTTCATTTAAACTGACTGAACAGATTGTAAAAGTCTCAAAATTGTTACTCTAAACGAAACAATCCTGAACTTTGGCATGTTCTGTATGAAACATAAACATGTACAGCACTTTACTCCTGGTGCTTGTTATGGGGCATAATTCAGGGGCCACATCCTACAGAGGCTGTGTTTGAAGGCCAATTGCGTCACAGCGGCACAACTAGACTACTCCCATTTTGAAGGCTCCTTCAAGTGCGGCAGAGAAATGCGTCCATTTCCTGAACAACGGGTGGATCCTTTGTGACCCAACATATCCCAAGATTCATTCAATGGTAATGAAAATAACATGGGAGCAAGCAACGCAAACAGAGAGCCCCAGGATTACACTTTTAAATCTAGTTATTGGGTTTCAGCTCTGTTCAACAGCTAACGGTACAACTGATAAAAACCCTCTGACAGGAGCTGCACTTTGTGATGCAACAGTAATGGCGGGCACAGCTGGTGACGCAAAACGAGAATCCATCCCATAGATCTTTGCGGTCTACGAAAGGGCCATGCCTTTGTAGACCACATCCTCTGATGGATGTGACCCCTGAATTGGGACACAGCTAATATCTGAATGCTGAAGCAAACATGGCATGTCCTAACAGGTTCATTTAAGTTGCATTTCTTTTAACCTCAAGGGGTCACAAAACCCCAAGACAAAAATTAGAGTAAAAAGCACTGGCATAAAGCACTACATCAGCTTTTGTCATGACTATCATGATAGCAAAAACCTGCCTGATGTTTATCACACATTTAACAGAAAATCTACAACATAAGCATCCCAATACTCCAAGTTTAACAATTTGTATTTCAGCCCTGGTTTGGTCTGCTACCTCCTCAAACATAGATACCTAGGTCCCTTCAGCTTGCTACATGTATCATGAATTTCACCTAGGGGATAAATAAAGTATCTATCTGCCTATCCATCTATGTGCAACTCTTGTCACCTGTGTGGCTGTCTACTTACATACAGTATGAGAGGGTCTGATGGTGGCACTAAAGGCTGTATAAATCTGCAGACTGAACTGTTGATCCTCAGTGGGATCAGCAGCATGAATAACCCTTTCATACTACAAGGTGATTCAGTGCTAACATAATAATATTGTTTAGTGGAACTTTATGCTACCAAACTTGACAACCATCACTCTGATTGCCAGCTCTGCATCTCATTTCAGCAGCTTGATGAGGAAGCTGTAAGCGAAGATTCCAGCGACGAGGATGACGACCATGGCCAGCAATGTCAGTCCACGCCGCAAAACCAGTTGCGTTACTGAGAGAACATCTCCCACTGTAGTATTAGTGGATTTATTCTGGCCCGGCCCATGCACCTCCTGGTATGCATGATCCTCCTCAGTACCCTCACAACTGGATGCAGTAGTACTGACCTGGGCCTGGTTATGATTCGGGTCTGGAAGTTTGAAGGAGAACCTTTTAGTATTAACTCTAAATTGCCACACAAGGGATGTTTTAGTTAGTGTGCTGGTGTTTACCTGTGTTTTCAATCCTGTCCATCTCTTTTTCTTCTTTGACCTGGACTCCTGCTCTCACACGAGCCTGATCATAGATAGTAAGAACAGTTGTTAATGGCTTGTTTTAACTTCAACTTTAACTTTAACTTGGTGAAGGGATGCAGGTACGCACCTCTTCAGCAGCCTTCTTCCAATCAAGTTTGTACAGAAATGCAATGAAGAAAATCGACTGCATTAGCACACAAACAGTAAGTCCTGTCCATAGTCCTATTACAGAGATGAAAGGAGGGTTTAAAGACTTTCCTGAATGTTACTTGACAAACAGGAGAAAAGGCTGCAATATAATTTCTCCACACTATTGGTTAGTCCTTACCTACAATCCCCATGTTCGCTGCAAACATTAGGGACGCACCAATGGGGAAGCCAATGAAGTAGTATCCCACCAGGTTACACAGAGCACCAACCATCTGTTTTCCTGCTCCTCTAAGAACTCCTCCAGCCACACCCTGTCGTCATCAAACAGATCCGGTCAAAAACATTCCGTCAGTCGAGTTAATATTCTGTCGATATTAGATCTCAAATGTACAAAATTGTTGCTGAAATTGTTTCTCACCGCGACAGCATCAGCAAGATGCGTGAAACCAAATACAAACATGACGTCGGCAACCCTGTGTAAAATTTCTCTAAAAAACACACAGATGGAGATTCAGTTCATCTCATCTCTATTTCAACACAATGGGGTCCACAAGTCTGAGATCACTAGTTAAGATGTGTTTATTTTGCATTTGTTTTGACTGTAATTCTATTTTGTCATTACAAATGATATCAGCTTTACAATTCCAGAGAAAAGTAGAATATTTGATAAGTGTACATGAATTTCCTTTTACTCTAATGGCAGCATGCACTCAAGCTGGCATGGACTCCACGAGTTTGTGCAAAACCTGATGACCCATGTTATCCCGGTAGGATCTGACAATGTTCCAGAGTGCCCCTATAATTGTTCAGTGGAGTTGAGGTCAGCTGACTGTGGAGAAAAGTCTATGACAGTCATGACTGCTTGGTCTTCTTTAGTCTAAGTAGTTCTTGCAAAGCTTTGAGGTGTGCTTGGGGCCATTACCCTGTAGCCATATGAATCCTCCTCCACAATGATACAAACTGGAGGGTGTAGCATGTCTTTGAGAAATGGAGTGATACTTGTTGGGTTGGGGTGCAGTCAATTCTGTGCAGGTGTCCAACTCCACAGTAGGCTAAACACCCCAGACTTGAATATTCCCACCACCATGTTTTCATGGCCATGCATCTCAAACTTGGATCTGTAAATACAACTTTTTTTTTTCAGACATCCACTGTGAAATGTTGGTATTTCTTAGCCCACAGAGGGTAGCCTTGTTTCCCCTGCTGACAAGTGGTTTAGAAATTGCTACTTGTCCTCTAAGACTGCCACAAGAAAGCCTTCTTTTGACTGTACTTTTTCTGATTGGAGTCTTGCGTTTTGAATTTAGCAAATTCTGTATCTGTGATGACGTTGTTTTTCTATCTCTCAGGGAGCTAAGATTGATGTATTGATCTTCTGATGGTGTGGTCATTTTTAGTCTGCCAATTGTGCTTTGGATACAACTTATCCAGTTTATGCAAAGCATTTTAGAGCTCCTGGCACTGCCCCCTTAAAAACATAGAGTCCAGCCATGATTTGATGCTGAGAAAGCCTCTCTGCTTAGAATAACAATTTGACTTCTGACACTTTCATTTAGTTCTGATATCATTTTCCCACCATCACAATGCTATATATAGTAATATATGCCTGTTATATTTCACTGCAAACTGGGAAAAGTGTGCTTATGTAATCATTTGAAGTTAATAGGCTTGTTTAGGTTCACTGAAATGGAACTAACTGGGTGGAATCTGTGAGGATGATATGATTAGCTGGCTTTGGCATCACCAGTAAGGAGTTCAGTGTTTGTGAGTCAGCATGAAGATGATGACCTTGTAGAAAAAGTCTGGATAACAATGTGAAACTAGCGGACAGACTGCAACAAAAAGATAGACATTATAGATGAATGATTCTGTCAGTGCAACAAAGTGAAAGGTTATTGTGTCAAAGGTTTTACTCACTGCTCTGAGGTGAAAATGTATCCGACGACATTTCTGGCGATGCTGAGACTCGCTCCAACAAAACATGCAATTATGACTACAACAAGAAACAAAAAGCAAAATATATAGTTAAAAAACTTGCACACTGAATGAAGATAATTTATCTATGGCCATGACACTACTAACCCCAACGTGTTCAATATTAAATAACTGAAAAAAAGTGAAATATTAGGAGTGCACTGGTGGCCGAATGGTTACACATGACAGCAGTATCCACAGTTCCATTCTGACTGTGGACCTTTGTTGCACGTCAAACCCCTTCTCTCTCCCCATGTTCCCTGTCTACCTCTTCACTATGTTGTAGTAGTATAAATATATAAATGAATGAACTGAAGACATTGTTAAAACCAGTTAGCTTCTGTTAGCTAGAGAAACAACAACAAGGCCAGTTATTCTGAATCAACTCATATTGGCACATTTAGCAATAACAAGTATAAACCCCCAAAAACTTCCCATAAAGACTCATGACAGAGTTCACTGCTGCTGCCCCAGGAGCCTGAAGTGGGGCCCCTGATGATGTGTGCTGTAGTTAGCCTCTACTGATTCACTGAACATCTTTAAATTGTAGCGTGACAGTCTAAATCTGATAGCAACTGTAAAGCCTCCTAGCTTTCAACAGAGGCAGGGGACATGTATGTCTGACAACACCACTGACATGAAAGTTAACAGTATGAGGGCACTGCCCTGGCCTCCTGCACCAATGCAGAGAATTTAGGATATGCAAGCAAGCAACCAAGCAAAACTATTTATATGGCACATGTCATTCCAAGGAAGTTTCAACCACAAAAACTATGTAGATAGTGTAAAGATAAAACATTAAACACAAAAGTATGAATAAAATGTGATTAAAAAATAATAAATAGTCCAAAAAAAAAGACATATAAAACCAATAAAAAGAATAAAAGTAAAATAAAATGGTAAATTAAGACCAGCAAACCTACTGGAAAGCGCAACTGAAAAGGATTGTTTTCAGTTTAGATTTAGATGATAGTGTAGGAGCACCTTAGTTTCACCAGTTTTTGTGGAGACCCAGGGAGTAACCAGACAGCCTATTCCAGCTGACCTGAGGGGTCAAGCTGGGTCATAGCTCACAAGCAAGACCATGTATGGCCTTAAAATTTTAAAATCAATTCTAAAATTTACTGGAAACCAATGTAAGGACCTCAGAACAGGTGTTATATGGTCAGATATAGGTCCTTTAACTGCCACATAAAACAAACTTCAAGGACTGTCTCTCTCACCTTCATAACACTGCAAAAATCAGGCACATCCCGTCTCAAAAAGATGCAAAAGATGCATTTGTCACTTTTAGGTTGTACTATTGCAATTTTTTAATATCAGGCTGCCCCAACAAGTCTCTGAAGACTCTCCAGCTGATCCAGAAAGCTGCTGCATGTGCACTGACAACAACATTTGCTCTATTGTTTCATTTATATATTTTACATAAATTATTCATGAAATTTATTTTGTAATTTATTCAAAATTGAACACTTTAGAGCTTCATATAAAACCACTCGGCCAAAGAGCTAAAGGTGTTTCATTACTTTCTGTGTTGGTTCTTACATGCACAGATGATGGGGACTTTACTCGATAACTTGGCTTGCTCTATGTTTCCTGCACCAAGAGCATTTCCAACCCGCACACTGGCAGCAGCAGAGAATCCTAGTGGGAACTGTGAGGAAAAATATATAGGTAATACCCAAAAGTGTATTAAAGCTTTTTCATAACTATAACTTCATTGGTGCAACGACCAATCAGAGAATCAGCATTTATAATTACCATGTAAGCTACAACAGCCAGCTGATAGGTTATCGACTGAGCTCCCAGCTCAGCCTCGCTAATCACACCGGCCAGGAATCCTCCCACTTCAAACATCCACCACTCCAGACAAAGCATGAGCATACTGGGAATGGCCAACTGGACGAAGGGTCCCCACTCCTGTAGACAGTCGAGTGACCAGCCTAAGGGTCAGGGTTCCAGACGTTAAGCAAGTGTGTAAAAACCAATACCACCTTTTCGAATTGAATCAAATTTTTCAATTCATGTTAAAGGAAGCACATGCAAATCTACCCATGTGAGTTCATCATTTAATATTATTCAAATACTGCAGGTGTGTTTGACAAAAAATGAATTGGGCTTAAAGTATAATCCAGACTAGGTTGAAAATGTTCACTCAACTCATAACTAGTCATGAAAACTTTTACTTCAAATCAGAAAACAACTAGAACAACTGTATTACCAGTAAATTAATAACTCGTCTTACATAACAGGCTTCTGACAAATGGTAGAGCTTAAAAGTAAGTGCAACTATGTCACTACTGTAACCTCTCCTCTACATTGCATTACACAGTTACAGAGTGTTACTCATTTTGTCAATCAATGCTCACAGGAACGTTTACGATGGACAACTATTGTGAAAGACAGCAGACTAGAACAATGAAGGATGATGAAATTACTAAAGAGAATAAGATAATTAATACAGTCAACCACATAAAAAATAAGAAGATCAGAAGACATCTTACCTCCCCATGTGGCCTTGTGCAGACCCCTCCAGCAGATGTAAACATACAAGACCACAGCCAGCAAATACTGAGAGATGGCATTAGCTGTTGCAGATCCACTTAAAGAAAAGACAGCAGATTTTAGAGCAAAGAGGAAACGAAGAAACAAACAGAAGTTGTGTCTGACACATATTCACATTTTGTTGGCAAAGAAACTAGACTATGTGAGTTGTGTTCAGGATGTTACTATAGCCCCTTTTCAACTGGCTGAAAAACATGCCGGGTTGTCAGCAATGGAAAAGGGAACAATTGGCATTGACTCTGCATTAGAGGCAGGTATTTATCGACTTCGGCGAGTATGGATTTAAACACAACACCCGGGTGAAATCACTAACTGTTGCGCCTTTTCCGGCTGTGATGTCTTTCATAGCTCAAACACTGTAGACAGACCTGTCACCTGCCCAGCATGGTGCTGTTACACCAGACACATCGCAGCTACACTGCGCTCGTAGATGAAAGAGTGAGGACAGCCCCCAAATAAGTTTCAAAAACACACAATCACCGATCACAGTGTCTCACATGGAGGCTCCGACACTGAGAGAAGCACCAGCCCAGGGATGAGAGTCTGCACTGCGGCTAACAGCTCACTCTCTCTCCCCCGTGTTTGTGTGTTTTCTGTAACTGCATGTGATGACATTGTTCCTTTCAGTTGTGTGTGTCTCCTCTCCAAACAGAAAGGCAAACTCAGTTGGCAGTGTAAAAGGAGTCAATTGCCTTTTTTTAGCGGGTTTACCCATGTTTAAAAAAGCCACTGAGACCTGCTAATTCTGGTGTAAACAGGGTATATAATTTCATAATGACAAGATAAATTGAAACCTATTTACATTGTTACCCAATATTCAGTCTGATAATCAGGCTTGGACAGACTGATGGAGTGACCACCATTACTAAAGATCAACAGTCATTAAGTCATTATAAGCAGAAATTAAAACAAGTCTAATTGTTTCTGCAGATAGGACTGAGTGTTATAATACACTAATAATTATTAAACTCTATTATAATAATGATGCAGGAAAACTTACGCAACACCCATATCCAGACGATAGAGGAAGATGTAGTTGATGAAAGCATTTAGGACATTTGCAACTGCTCCAGTTATCACCTGAGGCCATATAATTCCCTGTAAAGCACAGCACAACCTTGGCTCAATATCATCAATTTTGATGACTAAATTAAGTTTCTGTCAACAAAGTTTGAGAACATGAGAGAAGGTGTCACCTGATTTTGAAGATACCTCCCTTGCAGCTGGTACATAAAGGCTGCCTGCAGGAGGAACATGAAATTGCAACAGTGTCACTTTGACATAGGAAAGCATCAAATGAGCAACAAGACAAGAAGAAGAGTCTGCAGCCCTGCTAGCAGCTCTGTGAGGCTGCATGCTGGACAGGACATCCTAAAAAAAATCGGTGCGGCTCTACTCCTGCTCTGTTCAGTCAGTTTGCAATAAATACTTCTGCCGAAGACATCTGAACTCCTGGTCATCATGTTTCCTTCAGCTCACAAGATTTCAACCACAGTGGTAAACACAAAGTACAGCCGAGGCTTATGAGAATGTTTTAGTTCTGCAAATATTTAGTCATAAACTATCTGACAATTAAAAATTTTGATCTGATGATGGTAAACCCAATGTCATGATAATCCATCCAATAGGTGTCAAGATATTTCAATAGCAACCCAAATACCTGCCTGTGGGGGTAGATCAGTGGTTCCCAACCCTGTGGGCTGGGGCCCACTGGTGGGCCACGAAGGTATTGCATGTGGGCCAACAAATCATTTTCAAAATATTACATATATGTGTATGTGTGTGTGTGTGTGTGTGTGTGTGTGTGTGTGAACAGTGGTTCTAAATATTTTAAAACAAAAACAACACAATCATTCTCAGTCTAAGAGATTACATACATGGGAAAAACTGAGTGTCAAAATGAATGTGGTTAGAAACAGGGAGAATTAAAAGGAAAGAGAGTCAAGAGACAGATGGTGAATTGACAAGTGATCTGAAAAAATTGAGCTTCCCCTGTTTTCAATTCAGACACGATTGTTATCAATAAAAGAAAAAGTGCTCTGTGGCATTATTAGGCCTCCATATTGTTACAGGGTTTGATGTGGGCTGCTAACATTTTTGAGATTTTCAAGTTGGCCATGAGCTGGAAAAGGTTGGGAACCACTGTGCTAGATGAAGTCAGGGGATCACTAAAGTCTGGACCACAGTGGTGGGGTGACAGTGACCTCCATCCATGCTGCTAACATGGCTGAAAATTGAAACCCTCTTTGAGATTTGTATCTACTGCATTAGTGTCTAGAATGTACCAAACTCACCGGCAGAGCAGGCATGAAGATCTTCACATACAGCTGGGCAAGACTTCATGCACAAAGACAAAGTAAAAAAGAGCAAATAATGTTTGCATGTGATATGGTGGGATTGAGACATGGGATGGCACATAAAATGAACATGTATGAGGTTATGAGACCTTAGGATTCTTCTTTTAGTGAATGTCTTTATCGAAGTTCGTGGCAACTTTGACCCTAGAGTGAAGGCAGTTCACTCTGAACCAAAGTGTTGGACTGACCAACTCACCACCATTGCTGTCCCTTAGAGGCGAAAACAACTGAATCTGTATGAATGAGTCTAACTAAAACACTTCTTACCAGACAAAAGTGTTTTTTGAACTACTCAATCTCATACAAAGCTGATTATACCCTGATCATGTGTGCCAATGATGTTGTTCATGAGTTGTTTCCATCATCTCTGAACAACAGATTATTTCTAATACAGACAAAAGTTTTGTTGACATCAAAAGATGCAGTTTTTAGCAAATGTTTGCATGTAATGAATGCTAAATGTACAAATCAATCATTTGTTCCTTTAAATGAATAATTCATAAATTCAAATTAGTTAATTAATTAGTTGAAATTATATTATTGTAAAAAGGCATTTGGAACTACCATTAAAAGTTGCTGTGACCAGTCAAGGTAAGGATGAGCAGCCACAGTATTAGCAGCTGGCTAGAAGCTGTGTATTAAAGCTGCTATAACCAACACTTTTATGTTAACAATGGATCAAATGACAAGGTGTAGAAACATTTTAGCATATTTTAGCTCAATGTTTTGATTTTATGAGCCACAAACAAACTGTATTCAGGAGCGGAGCTACACTCTGAGGACAGAGAGGCCCTTCTGATAAAGTCAATTTAATATTCACAACTGTAAAATAGCTGATATATCCTATCCTACAGACAGTCAAACCACTTTGTCAGAAAAGTTTGTTCTGAAGAACAAAAAGAGAAAACAGGTTGGCAGTCACGTTCAAGTGTTTCCAGGAGCACAACTCTAAATGAAGGCCATTGTTACTCCCTATCTGCTAGATGTGTAAGCAACTATTTGCTAACAAGTTTGCCAGATCAACTTCAAAAGTGATATGTCAGTGTTGACTTTACAGCTTGTTTTCGTTGCCCCCAAGTGGCCTAGTAAGGTAAGTGTAAGTAAATAAATGAATTAATACTCATTCCATTTCTAAATTTCTAAAAGTGTAGATTGTCCTAATAAAAATCCACATCTGCAGCAGCAATGTCACTGAAAGAGATGCTGAAGGCCTGTGTTGTTTTGGGGATTGAGTAATGACTGACCTGGCGACCTCGGGGCTCTGCTGGACAGCGAGGAGGAGAGGTTCAGTGTTGATGATGACGGCCCAGCAGGGGAAACAGGCCAGCAGCAGAATCAGAATCCCTCTCTGGAGAATCACACCCACACGCTTCAAGTTACCGCTCCCATACGTCTGCATGAAACAGGTAGACAGATACTTACACCACACCAATAACCAAGGATATGACTGGTCAAAGAAAGCTAACATGATACAAAAGCTCATTGTTGAATTGTTTTTAAGGGGACCCCAGGACGACCTGGGAACCCAGCAGTACTGGTTGTGTTTGTCTTGGCTAGATAAACAGTGAAAGAACAACCTCTGGTGTGGACATTACCTGAGATATCAGGGTATCACAAGTTAACGACAAACCAGTTCCGATGCAAATACCAGTGACATTAACCACCTGCAAATGATAACAGAACAAAATTCAGGGTAAACATTTATATAACCAAATTAAAGCACGTACTGGCTGTGATACCAGGATAAACACAGATAAGACTCAAGCAAGTCTCCTCACCGCAATTGCCAATGATACTCCTGCAAGTTCAGTTTTTCCCAGGTGACCACAGAACACTGTGCTGACGAAACTGAGCATAAAGACCATCAACTGGGAAATTACCTGGAACAAAACAAACACAACAACTTAAGGTTGTTTGCTATTTCATACAAATGCCAGATACATTCATACAAAAATAAACATGGACGTTTTCAAAAAAGACCTAAGAGTTATCATTTAATTAAAAAAAAAACACAAATACAGCTCATTGAGAAAGTAGTCAGACCCTTTTAACTTTTCACATTTTATGCTGCAGCCTAATGCTAAAATAAAATAATTTTTCCCCAATCGATCTGCACTCAATACACCATAATGACAAAGTTAAAACAGAATTTTATTACAAACTTATTAAAAAGGAAAAAAATGAAATGTCACATTGACAGAAGTATTCAGACACTTTGCTATGACATTTGAAATTTAGCTCAGGTTTCTCCCTTGATCAACTTTGAGGTGTTTCTACACTTTGACTGGAAGTCCACCTGTGGTAAATTCAGGTGACTGGACATGATTTGGAAGGACATACACCTGTCTCACAGTTGACAATGCTTATCAGAGCAAAAAACCCAGCCATGAGGTGAAGGAGCTGCCTGCAGAGGCCAGAGACAGCATTATGTCGCCGCACAGATCTGGGGAAGCTACAAATACCTTTCTGCTGCATTGAAGGTTCCCAATAGCACAGTGACCTCTATTATTCTTCAATGGAATAAGTTTGGAACAACCAGGACTCTTTCTAGAGCTGGCTGCCCGACCAAACCGAGCAATCAGCGAGAAGGGTCTTGGTAAGAGAGGTGACCAAGAACCTGATGGTCACTCTAGCTCCAGAGGTCCTGTGTGGAGATGGAGAAACTTCCAGAAGGACAACCAGCACTCCACTGATCTGGGCTTTATGGCAGACTGAAGCCTCTCCTCAGGAAGTTTGCAGAGACACACCTAAAGGTCTCTCAGACTGTCAAGGTGACATCTATATTATTACATAATGCTAAGGTTCCTATTTTAAAGAAGGGCCTTGAATTCAAGTCGAGTTTATTTACTTACATATACTGCATCAGTAAATTTAGATAACTAACTAATATATACACAATGCACAGTGTTAGAAACTTCAACACCGTCAGACTAGATCCAGGTTTAGTCAGATATTATACACCTGCTACCGGTTAATTTCAAATGCTGGAAATCAGGGTCAAAACACACACACACACACACACGCACGCACGCACGCACACACGCACACACGCACACACACACAGATAGCACACAGGTAGTACACTTGGAGGTGCTCAGCCTTACCACCGGCCCCGCTAGTTGGAAAAGTTGTACCAGCTCAAGTTGGTACTCCGGCGGGATGCAGCCCCGCATGCTCTTCAGGCAAGAGCTCCCGCCTTGAGCAGGAGAAGCCGCTTCACCTGCCTTTAAATCTTCCTTCGGTCCTTCACTGTATTTAATAGGTGTTTTGCCAGAAGCGTCCATAACTTAACAACCTGCGGTGCTCTCTGCAGACAGTCTGGCCTCTCGGGTCACACGAGCTTCATAACCAGCAGTAAGAGGAGGGGTTGAGCACTTGCAGTGTGATTGAGGAGGGTCCACCCAGTGCCCGCCTGTTGAGGCGTCACTAGCATTGGGCAGATCTCATGTTGCATTTAAGTGCACGTGCTGAGGTTCAATTTACTTAGACTCAGAGTAAACACATTGCCCGAATTTGTGGCTCTGTCACAGTGTTTAATGATACAGTCGTACTTGAATGTGTCTCTGACACTATTGAAAAAAGGTACTTGGATATTCATTAATATTAAACGCAAATAATGATTTCTAAATACTACAACAATCAAGGCGTGTTCTCTAAAGCTAATAAAAGGTTTATTTTAAGGAAATTAACCAAGTTTAAAAAAAAAAATTGGACCAAGTGGTCCCAATTCCAGGCTTGGCTTCAGGCTTAATCAGTGTTACAATCTGGAGGGCTGAAACAGCTCTTTCCTCTTCACTGCTCTGGTGTAAACATGAGTCAAAACTGCAGCAGATGTCAAGTAATCTCACTCTGCAGTTATTTACGAGGTCTAATTCAAATCTAGGGCTCAGACACGAGAGGATCAGCAAATAATTACAAATATGCACTTTTAAATGCACAGGAAAGGATCTCCTTTATACTTTAATGCTGTAGACCCATGGACGCATATGTAATGTATGTACGTATATTGAATTTGAACATATAAAATTAAAATATGTATGTAAAATATTATAAATGAAACGTATTAGAAATGGGATCAACCTTCATATATCGACATATATGTCTAGCCCATAAAAATATGTGTGTTTATGCATGTATACTTATATTGTACACATAGGAAATATATACATAAATATATATCCATCCCAAGGCCTGTCAATATGTTGATATTATATACAGTGGGTTCCTAAAGTCTGAGAACACTTTCCCAGAATGGGAAGATAGACATGTTTAAAATTAGAGAGGAAAGAAATTATATATATATGTGTGTGTGTGTGTGTTTATTTATATATGTATATGTATATATACTAATATAGAGGATGTATATATGTGATAATAAAAAGTTATATATGGCAACATCACTCTTGATATAGGGACATATGTCATATATTACATGTCTGTATGGGCAGGTACAGAATCATTTTAAATTTCATGTAGGCCTATATATAACATATATAAATAAAATTTAAGAAAATGAAACAGGAATCCAAACATACTTTCATTTAAAATGTACAATAGAGAGAACAGTCTAAGTGCATTAGAACAATATTTCCACAGTTTGGAGACTGTTATGTGACATAATCCACTTGACAGACTTTAAATTGCTGGTAATTTGAAATTATAATACATAACCTGTCTAGAGTCCATCCTATGTGACACTTAAGTCAGTGTTTTTCATCTTGAGTGTGTTCATTTTCAACAGTCATACAAAGAAAAAGAAACAGTCTCCTTCAGCTGACTGCTGGTGGACAACATGCTCTGTTTTCTTTACTGTGATGTGATAAGATCTGTGCTTGTCTTGGGTCTGGGTTTTAAAGTCATGCATGAGCAGTTCACTTCAGCTCTACCTTGGTTTAATGAATAGCTTAATCCTTTTTGTGAGAACTGGTTGGGGCTGAAGATTACAAGTATGAAAATGAAACAAATGTGGGGGTGTAGAGTTAAAAAGCAGTGAGCTTTACCAGACCTCTGTATCCCACTCCTCATCTCAGCTACATTAGCTGCTAGTACCATAACACACCTGCATCCTGACTAAACTATAGCAGTTGAGCTGTGATGTAGGCGCCAGGTTTTGACAAAGAAAAAGAATGCATGGAATAAAGAAGACCAGACAAGAGCAGGACGAACGTTATATAAATCAGTGGAGTAATCTTTTAAAACAAACTGAACAGATTGTACAATAAAACTTATTTGATGCATAAACTCACACTAACAAGCACTGACATGCTACATTACTAACAAACACAAGTCCACTATTTACTTGCATTTTAGCCCTGGTTTGGTCTGCTAGCTGAGGAAAATATATGGTTCTCTTTGGCTCTTTGACTCATCACAAGTCACTTACTTCAGCTCCCCGTCATTTGCATTGTGGCAGAAAGTGGAAACACGAGGAGGTTCCTGAGACCTGGATCCAGACAGACCAGGAAGCCAAAACATAAGCCTGAGACTGACTGAAAGCTGCACAGAGCTGCAGAGTGGGGTGTTGATTCTCAGTGGGATCAACATCACGAGCAGCACTTTGACACTCATATACCTGAGCTCTCAGGATAAGAGTCATTTGAACAGTTTCACCAGCAAGGTGCTGCTTACAATCCCAGTGATGAGGATGACGATCATGATAAGCAATGTCAGGCCACGCCTTAAAACCAGCTGTCTTGCTGACAGAACATCTCCCACTGTGGTTGTAGTGGTGAATTCAGCGTGTCCTGGAACAAGCACCTCCAGGTCTGTGTCACCCTCCTCACTCACGGAGCTGGACAGAGTTGTACTGGCCAGAGCCGGGCTCCGATCTGAGTCTAAAGATTAGAGGCAGAGTTTGAGAACAAATTCTTAGTATTAACACAAAACTAGTCCAGTATTGACTCAAGACGGGTTGTTTCATATAACTACTGCACAGAATGAAGTAGTAAGGGGGTGCCTTTGCTTACCTGGGTGCTCCATCCCATCCATCTCTTTTTCTTCTGTGATCTGGACTCCTGCTCTCACAAGAGCCTGATTGGAGACATTAGGGACAGTTGCTGATAGTGTGCTTCAGCTTCTAATACATCTTAAGACAAAAAAATTGCAAAGAGGCATTTTGGTGATGTGATGTACACTGCTTTTAGAAAATCATCATACCCTGTGAAAATCTTTACCTGTTGTCACAAAACACCCTTAACTTTTTAAAGCTGTATATGCACATTATAACCCTCATATCAAGTTAAAATGAATTTGTGAAATTCCTGGTTTGGTTTAGTGATGAGCCTCTTAGAGTTTGTCATCATAAACTTCCTTTAGTGCAACCAATCAACTTCCACATCAAACACCCGGCTAATATATTTAATAATAATAATAATAATTATATTTAGGCCATTGTTGCGGATGAAATGAAATCTTGTTTTGATCTGAAAAAGTTAAAGGTTTGTTTCACACATCTAAACTTGAAAACGGGTCAAAATTGACCCTAACACAATAGGAGAGTTAAGGCAAAGCAACTACTTCAAAGTGGTATGATGACTTTCAGTAGGCACTGTAGCTACTGTACCCACCTCTTCAGTCGTCTTTTTCCAGTCAAGTTTGCACAAAAACGTGACGAAAACAATCGCCTGCAGTGACACACAAAGAGTAAGTCCTGTCCATAGTCCTACACAAAAATTAGAGAAGAGTTTTACTAGCTGCCCTAAATGTTAGTTAACAATCAGGAGCCACAAGACAGCGTTATTAGTAGTTTGTTCTTACCCACAATCCCCATCTTCGCCGCAAACATCAGGTACACACCGATGGGGAAGCCAATGATGTAGAGTCCTATCAGGTTACACAGAGCGCCAAACAACTGCTTTCCTGCTCCTCTGAGAACTCCTGCAGCCACACCCTGTGGACATTTATGGACATTTGGTCAAACCACATTCTGGACTGTATGTCAATATGTCTAAAATGCTTTATGGATAACTTGCATGAAAAGTTAACTGCGTATTGTTACTCACTGCAGTGGCATCACCAACATGCATGAAACCGAATAGGAGCATGACATCAGCAACCCTCTTAATAATGTCTCTACAAAAAGACGCAGATGTAGATTTTTGTTAGTGTAAACGTATAAACAGACAATCACACCTGAAATGTATCATTAAAAGACGAGGTGATATCCGAGTTCTTTAGTGAGGTAACTGCATTTTAAATCAATGCCATCCAACCTCAGTACAGCGTCTGTTTGTTCAGCATGGCATAGGGAAGTTATGTTTTTACTTATAAATAACAATAAATAGATAACTGTGCTCAAATTATTTATTCAGTCAGGTGATAAAAGTGAAAGAAATCTATTTGCTGTCAGCTGTCTTCACAGTGTTAAATTCAACTTTAGCAGTAATGAACCAAAACACCTGTTAAACATAACTGGGGCTCATTAAACAATCACAGACCAGTGCATGTGAGTCAGCATGAAGATGATGAACATGAGTTAATGTACAACTGCCTGAATGGCATTGTGAAACCAAGCCTGCTGTGGCACATGGACACCAACTAAGATACTGATACACTTGTACACAAAATAATTTGTGAAGGTTATTGTGTCAGAGATTTTACTCACTGCTCCGAGGTGAAAATGTATCCAATGACATTTCTGGCGATGCTGAGACTAGCTCCGACAAAACATGCCAATATGACTGTGTTGGACAAAAGAATGTTGTTAATAATGTGGAATAATAGACTTTTCAGAACATATTTAAACACCAGAGACTAGAAGTTCAACCTAGCAGTTGTACGCCTCTGCCAACCAGTCCAGTTGCAGTTTAGATGCACGTTAGTCTAGACTACAACCATCTATATAATCACCAACTCTCCAAGGTGGGCATCTAAGATTACAGTCACCAGGTCATGGTCACAGTTTCCCGTTATGTTCCTGAGTTATGAGTTTTTAATAATGGCTGTATTTTTGTTGAACATTATGAGGTTACGGTGAAGTTGACTTTCGACCTTTTGGATATAAAATGTCGTCACTTGAGCATTTTATCCTATTAGATTATGTGTGTTAAATTGTGTCATAATTAGTGTATGAATTTTTGAGTTATGGCCAAAAAGTGTTCTGTGAGTTCACAATGACCTTGACCTTTGACCTTTGACTACCAAGATCTGATCAGTTCATCCTTGAGTCCAGGTAAATGTATGTACATACAGTGATGCCTCTGGCCATGGCTGCTACCGGCGCAAACATAGGGAACAAAAGAGCTTTAAATTGAAGTTGCAATTGTATAAATTAGCTGAATAAAAACCTGTTTTATATAACAGAACTGAGAATATATAACCTTAATAATGTATTTAATATTACATTATACATAAACATTAGTCCAGATAAAACATGATTCTTTATGGAATGTGGACTGAATGAATTCTCTCAGGTTCCATGTGATGTATGCAAAGTTACACCTCATCAACACTGCATTCCTCTGTAATATCTGCTTTGAATGCATGCCTCTAATATACCGTCATTCTTAAGTTTTATTGTGGTGATGTGACATCTGTCCAGCCTCCACTTGTCCCAGCTATGAGAGGTCCTGTGATTACATTCTAACTTTCTGTGAGTGTAATGTTATGTAAGCTATATGTGCTGTATACATTGGGTCTTACATGCACAGATGATGGGGACTTTGCAAGAGAGCTTAGCCTGCTTTGTGTTTCCTGCACCGAGAGCATTCCCAACCCGTACACTGGCAGCAACAGAGAATCCTAGAGGGAACTGTGGTAGAAAAAAAATAAATGATTACTATGGAAATACATTATTTGAGGGGCTTTTAAGATATTTTAAATCATATTTTTTTAAAAAGTGATAAAAGCTGCCTTCTCTAAATTAAGGTTTCATAGAAGCAGTCACCAACACACTATTAGCATGCCTGATTACAAGACAGGAAAAAGTGAAGAGCTGTTACCATGTACGCTATAATGCAAAGCTGGTACGCTATGGACTGAGCACCCAGCTCGACCTCACTTATCACTCCAGCCAGGAATCCTCCTATTTCAAATATCCACCATGATAAACAAATCATGAGCATACTGGGGATGGCCAGCTTGACGAAGGGACCCCACTCCTGCAGACAGTCCAGTGACCAACCTGTGGGCCAAAGGTTTGTAGTTATAGAGTGCAACTTAGATTTATAAACAATTACACACTGGAATGGCTATAAAGGATAACCGATTAACACGCTGCAAGAGACGTCAATGATGAAACAGGAGGAAAGAATTGGATGAGTCTGAAATGAATTCAGACAAAAGGAGATATCTTAACAGCAAGCTCATGTGGTGGTCCAAACCACAGTGAGAAGAGAACTGACCTCCCCATGTGGCCTTGTGCAGACCCCTCCAACAGATGTAACCACACAAGAACAGAGCCAGCAAATATTGTGAGATGGCATTGGCTGCTGCAGATCCACTTCAGTAGAACCAGCAGGTTTTAGAGCAAAAGTAGAAAACAGAAAATAAAATTTTTGTCATTCACATTTTGCTGGCAGCTATTATAGACTAAAACTACGGATTATTCTTCATGTTTATTCTGTATACAGATGGTAATTCAGATTGTTGCTAAATCACCTCACAGTGATTGACAGTGATTTACATCATAATCCAGCTCAGCAGTCCTGTAATACTGCAAATACTACCACAATGGAAGCAAGAAAACATGTGACGCTCACCCTAACATATAAAGTGACCTCATGAGTGCTTCTAAATAAAACATTAATTCGTACATGTGCCTGTATGTTGGATTTGAATGACTTGTTTGCTTGATGAGCATCACCAGTTTCTTCGATGTCAAAAGTCTGGCAATATAATTCTTTACATGTCGTTTTGTTTTCTGAATAAATCTTGCTAACCTAAATCCTCTTAATGCTGCTAGCAGCCACATCTGTACTGAACACAATGTCAAATATAAGCTGTCAATGAATGTGCATGAGAGCATGTGTTCTGTTAAGGAAAACACACCTCTACCTATCCAAGTGAGACTTTTCACAGCTGAGGCGGATAAGAATTTGAGAATTAGGTTTTTAGGTATCATGTCATGAACTGAAGTGTTGCACAGGTGGAAACTTGCACATGTTAATGGTGGTTCATTCAAAGTAAGAAGTTCATCAAAGTCAGTAGGATGAATGATGAAGTGATGAACCAACTTTCATGGGAATCCAAAAACATTCCAGGGATCGTATTACAGAAACTTTCAATTTGGTTTTACACAAGCAAACGCTAACTAACTTTAGGAATCCCATCTTATCTTACTTATACTTGAATTATATCACTTGACTACACATTCCAACATCAGTTATTACATTTTATGTCTGTTACCTAGCAACCAAAGCTACTTCCCTCATCTCACTGAGGTGTTGTTTAGATTTCTCGTTGAAACCCAAAAAAATGGAACTAAAACAACGCCTGACACTTTACCTCAAGACAGATGAGTTAGAAGTGTTGGTAACATCTGTGGAAAAATCCAGAGATGTTCATTTTGGGAAATTTACAACAACAATGCTAACTCTGGAGATAACAGAGGGAGAGTGGGCTTAGACAGTCTGTATATGCTAACAAGATTTTTGTCATCAAACACAACGTTAAGCCTCTCAATGAATAAGCTCAGCCTGCTGACATTTTGTTGGTTGAAAGCGATAAAATAGCAGCGATATGGATGAAACAAATTAGCTAAGTGGTGGAAAAGTCAGGAAAGCTTAACAGTTATCCAAAGTTAGGAGAGATTATTTAAGCTGGTGCCTGTTTTACTCTGGAAGTGTTGGACCAGATGCACAGAAAGTTAAACTGCCAGAGTAAACATATTGATTCTGCTTATGAGAAAGACCATGAGATAATCTCTAGTACACCAATAATTACTGCTCCCCATAATCACAGTGGTGCAAACACTCACGCGACACCCCACTCCAGGGGATACAGGAAGATGTAGTTGATGATTACATTAAGGACATTTCCAATCGCTCCAGTTACAACCTGAGGCCACATGATTCCCTGTAAAACACAAGCACAACTTAATGTCAGTCTTAATGTTGATTTTAGTTATTATGTGTCAGCCATAATTAAGTGCCATTCATACATTACATTAGTCTTGTCATAAGAGACTGCACCTGATTTTGAAGATACTTCCCTTGCAGCTGGTACATAAAAACAGCCTGAAGAAAGAAAACAGACCAGAGTAAAACTGACAAGAACATATTTGGAAGCTCAAACTTCCCTTGTTGCATTATGCAATGCTGCAAATCAGTGAGCAGGACATCATAATGGAAATATGGAATTTAAAAGAAGAAGCGCACGCAAATACCTTGATTCGTGGTATTATGTTTATGATTAATCAGAAACATTCCCTTTAGGCTATTTCATCCACAATTGTTTTCTCGTTTGAGTCGCCGGAAAATGTATTTTAAGATAGTACTGTGATATAAATGTACATAGTGGAGATAGAAGATGTAATTGATATCACCCACCCCTACTGTAACTGGACGCAAGTACACAGGGCTGTGAAGGAAACACAACAGAAGGCCACAAACTCACCGGCAGAGCAGGCATGAAGATCTTCACATACAACTGAGAGAGACTTGATGGAAAAAAGACAAACATATGTGTTAGACTGAATTAATTAATTATGTATAATTGATGTGTGACATAGCAACATATAGAAGTCGAATCAACACAACTTCAGGTGGGCTTCTCTCAGCAACAAACTCAGGGGAGGTACTATTGTAGGAGCCATGAATTATTTTCACAGAGGAATGGATTTTGTGGTTTATATTTTGGGTCGTTGTGGTTTATATATTGTTATTCATTAGTGTTTGTGATATCACTTATTAATGTCATTTATTTTGCTTTCAAGGCGATTATGGAGAGTGGGTCACTGTATTTTTGGTTGACCACCACTTTCCTTTTGATCACTGTGGTTATTTATATCATAAATTTGTGCATGATGTAATAAGTTCATCTTTTTGTTAATAGAGGGTTTTTTCGTTAACGTATTTTGGACGAATCTTTTTGTAGCATGTCAGACAATTCAAACCAGGCCCGACCTCAGCCTCTCAGCGAATTTTAGTTTAGTTAGTTTAGTTTGGTTTAGTTTCCTGAAGTCGCTACAACTATTGCTCAATAGTTAGCGCTGTTGTCTTCTGTATGAGTCGCTGCTGGCACGTGTGGAAATATCACATTCTGGTTTCTCCATATTCCTCCCATATTTCAAAGATGGTGCAGGTAAGGTGAGTGTGAAAGCTAAGGGCTCTTGCTAAGTCCAGCAACAGTATTGAAAAAAATGGTGAATGTGTATGATTAAATAAGGTTAGAACTAGGGCAAAAACGATATCCAGAAAAATCATATTGCAATTATTTTGGCAGATATCACAATTCTGTTTTGAATCCCGATTTCAGCTGGAACTGTCATTTCTGCATTTGATTTTCATTGAAAAAAATATAAAAATGATGATGAAGAGATTTTTGTTTGTGCTTGTACCAAACAAACATGTCCCTTTATGTCTAGAGAATATGATTTACAGGCAAGGGTGTCTCTGCAGCACCAAATTGCTTCAAATATGGTATTTTGTGACACATTTTACATTCATCAAAAAATTGCAGCTCCTGCAATTTGGATATTGCACTAGGCCATACCGTGATTTCAATAATATTTCAAGTAATTTCACTGAGACTCACCTGGCGACCTCTGGGCTCTGTTTGACAGCAAGCAGGAGAGGTTCAGTGTTGATGAGGACGGCCCAGCAGGGGAAACAGGCCAGCAAGAGAATCAGAATCCCTCTCTGGAGAATCACACCCACACGCTTCAAGTTACCGCTCCCATACGTCTGCGTGAAACAGGCAGACAGATGAAGAAGTGGAATAAGAAAATACACCACACCATCACAAGCAAGGGTGCGACTGGGTCAAGAAAACAAACCTGATACAAAGGCTCATAGCTGAGCTGTTTTTAAGGGGAAAGAACAACTTTTGTTTTGTTGAAGACACTACCTGAGATATGAGGGTATCACAAGTCGACGACAAACCAGTGCCAATAGAAATACCAGAGACATTAACCACCTGTAATTGACAAAGGAACACTATTACCAAACGATAAAAATTCAAAGGCAAGCTTATAGAGGGAAATAACAGCAAGTCTCCTCACCGCAGCTGCCAATGATACCCCTGCTAGTTCTGTTTTCCCCAGGTGACCACAGAACACCATACTGATGATACTGATCATGAACACCATCAACTGGGAAATGAGCTGGAAAACAAAAACAAACACAACACCCGCCAGATATTGATATATAAAAAAAGCTGGTTTGTATTGAAACAGTACTTGAAACACAAGTAAAGTCAAATAAACTATCCAAACCACCCTGTGTAATATATACAGAGACTAGTAAAGATCCCTATTTTCTTTCATTTTCCTCTTCCTTTCTTCACCTTCCTCACTTCCTTTCCTTTCCTTATCACTGATTGGCTCTTGTTTTCACCCTTACCACGCCTCATTCACCTGGGCACTACAAAATTATTTAAGGGTTTCACTCCACTCATTCACTCTTTTTCACCTTCACATGGGGAGGTCGTTTCTGGTAAGAGAAGTTTGTTACTCTTTAATTCTTAGAATTGGTCTGTTAGTCTTGGAGAGCTTTCTTTATCCTTATGTCTTTAGGAAGTACATAATGGGACTACTTTGATTTGTTGTGTTAAATTTTACATTTACACTTTGTTGTTTCAGAACCAGCAGCCCATGTGTGTTTTCCCTTTCATGTTCGAAACAGTTATTTGAGAATAAACCTTTTGTTGAATTGGATTGATGTTTCATGGCCTTCCTTCTTTCCATGCATCCTGACCCTATGCCCATGGTGATTAATTTTCTGAACCTCATACTTAACACGGAGCCTTGTAGAAAAGCATTAGCTTTGAGGAGATGTGTTGTTCTATACAGTGTTTCAGAGTTACTAATAAATTCATGCCTCTTCCTTTGTTTCAAACACACTGAAAAACCTTGTGGTTGAATTAATTTAAATTTTCTGAAGGTAATCCTTATCTTTACTGCCATACTGTGGTTTATGTCGATCTATTATGTGGCGCACTAAAGTCGTTTGCATTTTTTCCCCCTTGAATTGATTTGCGAATTGTTCAGCTTCACCTTATGTGGAGTCTCACGTGACTTCTTCACGTGACTTATGTTGTCGAAAATTTGAAAGAATACTTTAAAGCCATTTACGAATCCTAAAACTGCAAGTACTTGGAACTACTTGTTTAGTGCCAGAGTATTGTCCTGCATTACTTTCCAGCTCTGTACAACAGGACAGGCGCTCAGACCCAGGCTTACCACCGGCCCCGCTAGTTTAACCAGCTGGACTGTCTCATTCCGGTACTCCAGCGGGATGAAGCCTCTGATGTTCCTCAGGCAGGAGCCACAGCACTCACCAGAGCACGGGACTGAGGGAACCGCTTCACATGGTGTCAAGGCTCCGTTCGCTCCCATAGTATGTGTTGTTGCTGATGCAGGACCAGCCATTACCGAAAAAGAGAAGCGCTGTAAATAGACGGACGGCTTGATTTGTACAGCTGTTCTACAATTTAGCACCTCTGGAAAAAGTGAAGTATCAAACAGAGCTGGCGCATATCTGTCAACGGTGGGTCATACTGAGAGCAGTCCGTCGAAACCGTCTCGGGCTTCGGACCGAAACGGGATGTGACGGAACTGGCCTGACGTACAGAATCGGGAAATTTTGCTCAAACACATATGCCTTAAGAGTCTAAGGCCGAAGCTACTGTGTTCATGTGCGGGTAGTGTTACATTATTAGTCAAAACGGTTACGCCATCTACGCATCAGAAAAGCAGTTATTCTAACGCAACTTAAAAACGATTGCGCGTCTACATCGCCTTGTACGTTAACGCGTGTGGGCACAACAGGCTTCATGGTTCATTCAAGTGTACCTCGTAAATTCAGCAATCTATACTCGAATGGTGACGAAGGTTGTTTAAGACAAGTCTATTCTTTTTTTCTTTGTCAAAATACCCATGGGTGCATTTAACGAGCTACCATCATTAAAAACAACACAGATAACATGAAGGGGATCTCACCGGACACGGAAAGAAAACTGTCAATAAACGGTCCAATCATGTTTGAATATGATGGTAGCTCCTTCCATACACAGACGTATGTATTTCAACAAAGGAAAATTAGACAAAATGGAAACTTCCCCATTTTAAACAACCTTAATATCCATTCTAGAATAGGTTTCAGAGTTTACGAGGTGTGCTGAATGCACCCTGTCGGCGCCCACACTCTTTACCGTACAAAGTGATATAGACACGCAATAGTTTTAAGTTAAGACGGCTATCGGCCTGGTTTGATTGACGTGTATGGTGAGAAGCGATTTGGTGCTTGAATGAGGAAGGAGAACTCAGTTCCAATCACATTAGACTTAGCTGTGTTATAATTACTGATATTAGACCCAGCTGTGTTATAATTACTGATATTTGTCGGTGGAGTGGGCGTTTTCCCTCTCACAGTTTTTCCGTTAGTTTTAATCAGTTATCGGGTTCACCTTTATAATGGTGTGTTAATGTGAATTACAGATGCACCTCGCTAACCAATCTAGCGCTAGTTGAAAACTTAACCTAGTGTAAGTACGACGTTTGTTTTGTGTTTCTGGTATATGTGTGACTGAAGTTAAGTGTACTGCGTAAGTGTAATAATCTATATTAATTGTAAAATGCCCATCAGGACGTTTTAAGTTTTAGAGCGGTTAATGTAACAATCAGCTAACTTTAATGTGGTTTAAACAGTAAGGTTAACTTACTCCATTGTCATTGGTAGATCTGAAAAGCTGCTATAGCTCTTTAGTTAAACAGGTGAGAAAAGTTGTATGAAAGTCTATGTAGCAGTGTAATGTAAATGTCAAATTATGTTGGCTGGGTAGGAACCAAATAAGGAATAAGTTTCCTACATTTCATTAACAGATCCTGCTGCATGATTTCCCCCATGCTGTGAATCAGGTGCGGATCTAGAGAAATACTCGTTGAGTGGCAGGAGGCTGGAGACTTTAAAAGGTGGCAGAGTTATATATTTGCTTATTTATTTATTTATTTATTTGTAAGCAATCACATAAATCACAATTTTCATGGAAAAGCCTGCAAATTATGATATTTTAAGATTTTTGACCCATAAATGTCATTGTGGTATGAGGAAAACATTGTATAGACAGACATATATAAAGGTGTATAGACAAACATACAAAATTATTTTACTTGTCTTAATGCAGTTTAATGTTCCAAAACTAAAACCAATAAAAAAAAGAAAAAATCAATAAAAAGACTGATTTAAAGTGAGGGCCACCTTCAATGCCTTCCTGTATTCTACAAACCAGGCTAAAACATTGTTTAAACCCACTGTGATGTATGATATGCACTATATAAAAAGATGACCTACTACAAAATACTGTCTTGTGCACTATTAGACCAACAGGGGCCACCAAATCTATGCAAAGACCGCCACAAGCAGGTCTCATTTGTATTTATCATGCAGTTGTAGGAATGAGTTATTCCCATCAGCCGTCAGTCGTAAGTCCAACTTGATTGCAATGATCAGTCTATTCAGATACCAAGACATTTCATTCACTTAAATTCATGCGTGGCTGCTTCTTTTTCACAATCTGGCCAACTTAAAACATGGTTGTTCGGGGGAGGATTTGAAAATGTCCAAGGGTAGGAGCAGTGAGACAATCTTGGAAGTGTCTAGTTGTCCGTGTTGACCTCGTTGGGTTCTAGGTTGTAGAAGTGTCACTTCTTTTACATGTGTCAAGTGTTTTCAGTCCACAGTTCATTGAAAATGTACCTGTCTATTTGTCTAATGTCTATTTAAGTGCTTCAGTTAACTCAACAGCCTTAGCATGGTCAACTGTTTTAGACTGGAGCATATCCGACAAAAATGTAGTCACTCAAAACCTTTCAGAGATGGAGGGAACAAAATTCAGATCAATCTGAACTAATATCCCTCTGGCTTCGACAGCTGTTTGTGGATGGATCTCAGATGCAATCTCTTCAAGCACCCGTACAATTGCAGGCAACCTAACATTGTGACATGCTTTGCTACAAGCCCAACATCACTGAGCTTTTGCAGTTCCCTTGGTGCACCATCAGACATCCCCTGCTGCACTTCCAACCATTTGTTCTGTTTGTAAGACCCAGATCTGAATATGTGTTGTCTTTCTAACAATGAGAAGAAATTTCCAGCATCAGTTGCACCTTTGACAGAGTCTACTATGACTAAATTGAAATTGTGTGCACTGCAATGAACATAGACAGTATACTTGGCTATGTCTTTTATTTTCGCTTGGACAGTTGAACATTGCCCGATCACCACAGCAACACCATCTTAGCCCTGGCCTACGAGGTTTTTCTTATACTCCAACACATGCTTCTCAAGAAAGTGCTTAACGCAGCAGCATCCAGGCCTTCTGCCTCTGCAAACTCCAGAGAGCTCTCATGGACCACACTGTTGGAGCAATATCTTAGAACAAATTAGATTTTCTCTTTTTTTTTCTCTTAATCATAGGGTTATGGTTGTCCAGCACATCCAACAGGAAAACACCCTTTTTTTTCCGCATCAGGACACTCCCTGCAACCACTGGTTGTGTTTTCTGTGGCAGTTCATATTAGAATCTCAGCTAGTGCTTTAATGTAGTTTTGATTTTCAATCACCTGTTTCTTATTTTGTTCATCCATTATCCCCAACAGCGAGGTATTTTTGTCATACCTTTTTCTGTTCTCTGCCCATGCATACATTGCATTTGCATTGCTTCCACATCGGGAGAACAGAATCCACTGTTTTTAAATGTGGCTTTTTTTCCAATTACAATACCCCTCAGTGGAGGTAAAAACACTCTTAGGAGCATCAGGCAGAGAGAAATGTCGACAGGGGAAACAGTAAGCTGTTTTTTTGGACTGTGAGTACTCCAGCAATGAATGGGCTTTGTATCGCTCACTCCTCCGGCTCCTCCCTGTAGGGTCTTGGAGAAACTCTCTAGTTACGGCTGAGCTGGCCCATCACACCTGGACTTGGATATTTCTATTTCTAGAAGGGGGGGAATTCAACCTTAAATAAAACAAACCTTGTTGTACAATATATTAACTCACACTTTGGAGTAGTCATTTACTGGATATTTATTTAAAGCAAACATTTATTAAATTGAATAATACATTTATTAGACTGGGGTTAAGCCATGTCTCTTAAATGCACCATTTTGGGAAATATCCATTTCTTATTCAGATGTAAAATACATGTATAATATAAACAATTTTCATACCATGAAGACCAGCTGGACAGGTAACTTGTGATAACTGTTACTCATATTTCCCTCTCACTGTCTGAGCTCTGTCTTGAACTGTCTTGATTTCTCTCTCTCTCTCTTAACTTTTTTCTCTTCTTCCTCATCATCTCTGATGTTCTTTGCCTTCTATCAGTTCTCCTGGTGTCCACTGGCTGAAAAAATGGCAATGTCTCCCTTCCTTAACTACTATGTTTTTCTTTCAGTAGTCATCATTATTAATAATGGTGCACAACATAACAATGAATGTTGTCTACAGTTTGAGTGAATGTGTGTTGTTTTTCAACTTCCTGCATCCACAGGAATCCTCATTGTTTCCAACAGCTTTCTGAAATAAGATTCAAAGTGATTAGATTCAAAGTGATCAGATAATTATTTCAATACAAGCTTTCTTTAAAGGTTTATCTTAGGGATTAGAGACCTTCATATAAAGACAATATTCACTAATTATGTCACTCATCTGTGAAGCCACACATTTAGTGTCACAGCAATCCAAGATACCTGGTTTTTATCCAGTAATGCTGATTAACTGGCAAAAATTGAATTGACAATGTGGTGAAAGTGCAAACTCTCAGGCACTGAGCATTAAATGAAGCATTACTGCATTACTGACTGATGTGACTTTATGTTTAAGGCTTGAGCGAGTGATTTTTAGTGCTTTTTAAACTGTTGCTTTCGTATGTTGCACTTGTATGGCTGATCTGAAGTTTGGACACATTTGTCTGCACAATGAGCAGTTACAGAGATGTTGAAGATGCAGCCAATTTGGGTTTTGTCAGGTTTAATCCATCCCTCACACAGTCAAACATGAGTTCATGTACTGAAGAATTCTTATTCTCATTATCTACCTCAGTATGAATGTATGGATGCATATACTGTATGTATGTACTTTATGTGAGTGAAAGTATGGATTTGTACAATTTTATGCATATGTGTGGATATGAAAGTGAATAATTTTTATACATTTTTTATTCTTTCAGCTGGACAAAACAACTGATGGCATAAGGATAGGGAGACAGCAAACTAAAAATGTCATTACACTGATAAAAAAATTAAATTTAAAAATAAATTATTTCTGCATATATGTCAATAAAGCCTTTGAATTTTATTGATTTTAAATTGTACTTAATTACTGCCACAGCACCCACAGTCTAAGACTCAAATCTGTATATTACAATAGAACAGGGACAAACTGCAATGACAACTTAGTTGTTTTTTTTAATTGCACATGCACAGAACAGCCTACATTGCATTTGTATATCGTTATTGTATATAGTATTTCTAATTTATCTTATTTATTTCAGATTTTGTTTCTATTATTTTATTATTACATTTTCCCCTCCCCATGCTGCTGTGTCAACTTGAATTTCCTCTTTGGGGGATCAATAAAGGTAAATCTTATGTTCATTACAGTACGTGTCTCTAATTTTAAGTTTCATAAGATTCATTTGGTTCACCTGTCCACAATAAGAATCCACTGTGACACAGGTGTACGATCAAATCCCAAACTTTTACTTTGAAAGAAGCTTGTTTCACTTCCGGTGGCCACAGCTGCTCCTGCCTACTTCTTGCACGCAGCCGTCTCTCCTTTGAGTCCTCTCTCCTCTTGCCAGCAGCAGACCTCCGCTCTGCCAACTTCTCTACGGCGTTGCGTAAAGACAGGTGAG